CTTCACAATTTTGAAGAGAATAGTTGGACTTTTCTCAATGACTACCCTGAGGCTCCTTCATCTGATGACCGCCATTCAAAGTCTGCTGTTTATAGGATGGAGTCCTTTCGACCTTCTCAAATGGAAGTTTGATAACGATATATGTTGCCAATGTGCCATGCCAACGGGCAATACGTCCGATATCCTGCTCATTTGTAAGAGATCTAGATTACATTTATTGTGTTCCAGATCATACGAACTCATGTTGCTTAGTGCCATTATACAGCCATGTAGATATCACAGAGGGAATAATCTGCATGTGTTAGATGCTCAAGATAGATGTCCCAATCGTTTGATAATTTCTCAAGGTTTGTGACGACTTTCAGGCGAGATAAAACTCTGATAAGTTCGGTGCTGAGCCTTTGCTGGCAGAACGAAATGAATCGTCCTAATCTAGTAAAGTGACATTTTGAGGATGTTCAGGAAGCGCAAACGGTTTTCTCAAAACAGCAATGTGCTTAAAGCACTCTGAACCATCTGGCTGATATAATGTCAAGTCCAGCGATTTTCTGAAGAGACTATACTGTTCTGAAGAGATTTTCGGCTGAACGAAATAGCGAACAAATGGACTCAAGTCTTTACTTCTGTCACTTGGTTACTCAGGGAAGATAATTTGTGTTCGGCATCTTGCTGTTTAACATGTGCTGTGCGAAGGCTGGCTGGCTGGATGGATCTAAGAGCACTGTGTGACTTCTCTTTGGCCCTGAGAGACTCTCTCTCTTCTCCTCGTTTGCATCTGTTAAAAGCCTGGAATTCCGTACCCCGGGCAAACCAGTAACCTTTCAGTCAAGCTTGAATGTCCAAGCCTCAGTTCAGAGTTTATAGTAATCAAGGGCATTGATACAACTGGGTTACTAATATAAAAGATTTCCATCCAGAGGCAGTGATATGAAACTGAAGTCCTGCTTAGCCTTGAACTCTAATGAAACGTTTCTGACCTGCTGAAAAAAATATTTAATACTTGACACAGTTTCTCATATCAGACTTTGAGTAGCTAGACTTGGAGGAATGTGATAGTGGGAGAGATGATATGACCCCCAAACAAAACCCCGTCTAATTCCACTGCAGTTGAGACTATTCAAACTTTATGTTGGCGCTGACAATGTTGAGATCACAATGGTGCAAGTATCATCAGTCCTCCAGTTCTACCATATTTGTTGAAAATGAAAATAATTCTGTTGAACTGGTTCCATTCATATCCTATCAATTAAAACCTTCCGCGAATTATATTGGAGGAGGTTGAGATGATCTGTTTATTAGACTCCCAGTTAAGATATTGTGTGGTTTCCAGCAAAGTTCACATTGGTGCCGTTGAGATGGCTGTGATAATCAACGTTCCAGAATTCTTCACTTATCATCGGTCTAAACGTTGCGAATGGGATGATATAATTTTCACCTAAAATTGTTTGCAGTATCGGTTGATGTATATGGCGGAATAGATGGTACAACCGTCATAATTCCAGTAAATCTTTCTTGCAGTGTTCTTTTGAGATCGACCACACACCTTATTTTGAGGTAGTGGAATTGACAGCCTTCCGGATGAAATTAACGTATTTAATTTTGAATCAGATGATCTGGTTACGAATCTAAATCACGCAATTTAATGGTCTACTTCGCATATTTTAATACTCGTCATCGCCTTCATTCGATCTCAAGGTTCTATTATTTCCATTCATCTCTTACGCATTGTACATGACAATGCGCTAACATGAGGCAGTGCATGTGAAGAATCTAAAATCAGTAGTCCTTCATAGGGAATCTGGCACTCTCACGCTGTGAAACTTTACTGAATACCGATGTTAGAAAGTATTAGGTATCTCAACGTCAAATTCTAATCTAGCCCCTCAAATTCCCAACGGAACTTGAAAATGTTCTCAAATTGATAAAACAGAAAATATTATATAACTAAACATACAATAAAATCTGATTGCTATCACTGATTAGGTTGGTACCTGGGTAATGTTGAACACCATCAAACTGATGAGAAGATATTCCACCTCATTAAGTTTGATGATCACTATATCTAAACAACATATCTGCCATTATTACATGTGGATCAGTTATTGCGTTTCGTTCTATTATTTGACAGGTTTTAGGAGTCTAAAGGGTTAAAAGATACTCTTCAAGATAAACCCTTTTGGTTGCCAAGTACGGTCCACTGCTGTGACAGTTCAGGTTTGAGAGTTCCCTCTTTTTCCATACTTAGAACCATCATAAAAACTAGCAATCTCACGTCTTTGACCTGTCCACTGTTATGGGCGTTTTATTTTTATACGCCAACTTTGCCAAATTAATGACCATACGTTGTAAAGACCGCAGATCATAGGTAACTCCTGCGCACGACCATAGTTGCAAAGTATTTGAATGCTAGAAGGGAAGGTATGGAGGAGTGGAGTGAATTACGGTATGAGATTTCGACGAGTCTCGTAGTGAGTTGCTTCATGGCGAAAAGCGTGAATCCGTGAGAGCAAATACGCAGGAAAAAAAAGTAAACTAATGTGATTGGACATCGGGATACGTTCTGCAGAATCGGGAGTGCAAATGCGCAGGAAAATGGATGTCGAGTAAAGTAAAGTCATCGAACATCCAGAGGCGGTTGAGAAGTTTACAAGAGTCTGGTAATTTGGATGCACTCGAATCTACTTGTTAACTTCGGCTATTCCACATGGAATTCTATTGGAACGAAATTATTAGATACAGTTGAAATTATTATAGTGAAATGAAATTTTTTATGAAAAAATTAATAAAGAAAAAATTGTTAGAATTAAATTAATTCTGACAAACCTGACATTTGAGTCCTGCTCTAAGGTCTTCTATGGTATTAGGACTCTTGTTGCTAATAGAAGAATGTTGATTCGAGAATTTGCTAATTCTCGAACCTATGAGATGAGACCGATGAGACCTTGAACCTGTCGTGGCAGAGCGGGAATGGAAGTATGGTCCATGAACGTTTCACATACTAGATGCTACGTAAATGGTTATGGGTCGAAGGAAAATATGCATCGCTATCCATGCAAAGGGATTTAGACTGCGCGTTGAAACGATTCACTAATTAAAAAAATGTTTCTCCCGCCATGTAAACTCGAGTAATTCGAGTTTGGTTTTCTTTTCAGTGAATGTTATCCGAGCACAGCTTGAATAATCACTTTACGCATCTCGCTGGAGTAAAATATGAAGAATTTCAGATCGTTTCGGGAAGAGTAATCCCTAACTTGTACCTGAGACTGAACTTTGTTATCGATGAAGCTTGTCATTGAAATAGGCTTCAGATGTACGAACCTGAAGGTTGGATAGCTAATCTCGAGTAAGATTTGACAACGCCCTCAGTACCTGCAATCAGTTCTACACGAAAAAGAATTAGCCTAGATTTTACTGATGTTTACCGGCGAGAACTGCAGTAAAGTCAGGTTGGTGAAACTGCAGATTCGACAGTGTGCATAATTATCAATTTCAGCTTGTGCGATCTTCAGACATACCGATATATATCGGTCTGCCTGCAGACCAATATCGAACAATTCAATACGGTTATTGAAAGTGAGCAGGAGATATTTCATACTCCGGGTTCAGTTTTATATTATTATATCCACTGATAACTCTTCGATTCAAGAAGTACAATCGCAGACAAAAGAAGCATTCTTACAGAGACAAATAGGAAGCGTCCATCTTCCTACGCTGCAAAAGGCCGATCTCTAGACTTTCAGCATACACTTTTTCCATCAAGGCTTTCTTGTGTTCGATTGAAGACTTTTGAGAAGGGGATCACAATTCGAGGAAATTGGCTCTATGTCTTGAAGACGTAGGAAGATCTGAGCAATTATATTGGGGTTTGTGCTGCTACTGGTTTCGAAAGGTAAAATCATGTCTTCGTGAGTTTTATGGGGAACTGATTAAGAATATCACTTATTTTTAGCATTCTAAGTTGAGAGTCCGCGAGGATAAAATTTGGCACTTTCCAACTTTTATTAAAAAAGGTAATCTGAAGCGCACATAAACGTTTTCATTGTCCCCATCAGATGAGATACTTAACATCATTGGTGTTATGTCAAGCTGCAGTTTTCTCTCATACCATTTCGAATTGTCGTTAATGATGAATAGAAAGGTGTTAGTGAACTTGGTGGCTATGATAGTGGGGAACTTGGAGAAATGATAATTGAGGTCGACGAGAGTTTTTATTCAGAGGTTTCCTAGGTTTACCTCTCAATGTATTGCAGAAACTTTGTAGTAATACTCAACTAGAGTTAAATTCTCAGAAGTCCAAGTTGATGGTCGTGGGTTCGCAAGTTGCCTACTTTGTTCCATTCAGAGGTCAAGAGTTAAAATAGGCCATAAGCTACAAGCATGAATCTAAAGAATATTTTTCTACATACAGTTGGAGGTCGTGCATTGAGAGGAGTAGGCCTCTCAAGCATTTTACATTGTTCACATTACATGTTACATTCTCCGTTCACAATCTTGGCGCATTTCGATCAAAACAGGTTGCCACAACAAGCACTCCGTGCTACATTTCTCCTTGGTGGTTGATCTGTGGATGTACTTACTTAAGTGAGACATGGGATCCCTATGAAATGGACTTCACACTCTCAAAGTTTTGCTTAATGTGAAGTCATACATAGTACACCCCTAAGCCTTCGTCGTAGGAGCCTCAAACCAAGATAGAGTTCGATCATAAGAATTTGAATCGCATGTTAGTCTATAGTGGACAGAATTCATTAAGTGAACCTACCTCAAATTTTGAAAATAAAATTGAAAGCTCTCAATCTTACTAGCCCTTAGTTTCTATCAATATTATTTGAATTCTATGCAAGTCTATGGTAGAGAAAAATACTTAGATGCACATGTCTCCAAATTCTCAAGAGTGGCGATGATTCTGCATCGTCCTTGGTCTATATTATATTACATGTTGAAGATAGGCGAAGGCATAGCCTTGATTAAAAATATCAACTCTGTACACTATGTGGATTAGACTATATCGAGAAGAAGCACCAGATTTTCATGCGGGTACCCTATATGCTTCAGTTTTAGATGAAAGCAAACTGTTGATGTTACAAGTTTTTATAGTTTACTTAAAATGAGACCTCTCACTGGGTCTTGATGTAGGATTACTGCCATAGGGGTGACTAGGTATAAGCTAGCAGGTTGTGCGTCCAAGTTTTGTATTTGATGCTTCTGAGTCTTTGGGTTTTCAGTAGAATACAAGCATCAAACATGGAAGTAAGTACTACCACCAGGATAACGTGAAAACGTGACGTCAACCAGGGCCCGGGAATGAGAAGGAAAAGGCCGTTCAACGATATCAAGGAAGTTCAAGGGTATCTTGGAGAAAACCTGCAGTGAGGCTCCGAAGTCAATTGAGGTATCTTGAGAGAGCCACGTTCCAAAGTTCAGGCTTGCAACACGGATGTACGAGCCGAGATTCTCTTCTGCTCAAGGAGTAATAACCAGCTGCTGTAATTTGTACGAAAAGAACACATAACGTAATTGGCATGGCTGGAGAATGCGATTCCGAGTATCGATTAGATATTGTACAAAAGGCGGCTGACAAGCTGACAGCCTTACAGAATGTGGAGAACTGGGCCTACGAGAGCTAGCTGAACGGATGACATCGATGTGGGAGTCTCGTGAAAAGCCAAAGATTTCTACCTCAAAAGACCAAACTCTGACCAAAAGAAGACGACACTTGATTCAAATCCTCGTCAGGCGCTTTTTGAAGGGTAAAGCTCGCGGGAGGGCTGGCCCAGGTAGACAAAATTATTTACTGGCCTTCTAATGAGGTGATAGAGCACAAAACTTCCAAAGAAAGCTTCAAACATGAATGAGAGAGAGAGAGAGAGAGAGAACTGGAAGCCGTGCTTTATGTATGCAAATCTACGTGACTTGAGAGATCTGGGCCTGATGTGCCGCTTCAGATGTACTCTGATGCATCGAAAACAAGGAAGAACAGATATCAGACAAATTCACAGAAGCAGCCCTGAGCCTGAGCCTGAGCCTGATTGCGCGCAGCAAATGGATCCAAGCGTTTCGCTGCTGGGAATCGGGCTTGAATCCCTGATCAGCAACAGCGGCATCAAATCTAGTGAAGGAGCATCTGCCTGTCTTTGCGTACCGAGACACAGAAGCCTAACTGGTATCCAGTCTCGAGCTCGAGAGCAGCATCCATCTGGGATCAAGTTGCATATGTGACAGCTCGAGAGCAACAGTGAGCCGATCGACAGCCGGCATGAGCAGGTCCAGATTTAGTGAGTGCCTGCGTGGACCGATGATGTATGTTGCTGCGTTGCCCTGGCAAAACTCCACTGTTCTCGCTTTGTCGACTCCTCGAAAGCGCTCAATCAGGCAAGAACGGAGCTCGGCCAAGCCGAGCTCCCCCTGAGCATACGGAAAGTACGGTGGCTGTTTCTATTCCTGTAGTCCGGACTCTGGACTCTGAAGTCATCGCAAGTAATCAAAGCGGATCCTGTAACTCCTGTTCGCAGTCAAAACTCCTCAAAGCTCTCCTCCTCCTGTTCACTCCCCTCCGTCGCCACAGAATCAAATATTCTGAGCCTTTCCGCAGGCTGTGGAGCGAGCGAGCGCGACCAAATCTCAACCTTGAGCTCTCTCTCTTTCTCTCTCTCTGTGTCTTCCCCCCACCTCCCTTACAGACAAGGAGCGTTATTTTGGCTGACCGAGAAGCGAACAGATTCCTTGTCTTTGGGTGAGGCTGGAGCTACAGGTTGACCAGGTGTGGCATACGGACTCGATCCTCGGGGAGCAGGGAAAAGGGCAGAAAGGGAACGTAGGGGAAGGTCGTCCCGTGAGCTGGCTGGCTGGAGACGGTGCACAGAGAGAGAGAGAGAGAGTTGGCAGGGCTCTTGAATGACAGGGATTGTCAATAAGTACGTGCTCTGAGGCTCTGAGGCCCTGACGTCCTCGCACTTCCTGCCGCAAGTCACGGCGCCGGTAGAAAAGAGGAAGGGCCTGCGAGGGAGAGGCTCGCCTCCACCGTATGTACGAGTGTAGATGTGCGTGCCCCCCTTTACGAGCACCGTATGAGCTGTGACGGTGGTGGTGGTGGTGGTGATGATGGTGGCGTTGGCGTTGCGGGCTCGGAAGGTGTGCGTGCGCTCGTGACCGGGAGATGCACATGGCCGTGATGACCGATGGTGCTATGCGCTGTTCTGTGCACGATGTGCACATGACGGTGTCGGGAAGTTTTACCGAGGGAGGGAGCAGAGCAGCAGCAGCAGCAGGAACATGGTCGCTGCGTCTGGGGCACCTACAGCGAAGGAGTCCTTCTTCCATGACCATACCATACCCCCTTCGCTGTCGCGGTCAAACCTCCCCACCGAGCTGCCCTGCTCTGCTCTGCCACTGGTTTAGGCTTCGGGGGCCTTCGGAACTCGTGCTCTGTCTGCTGTGTCTGTGCCCTGTGCTCTGATCTCGCAGAGGTCAGAGTCAGTCTCTCTTGTAATCATAGACGATAGGTTCGGTGGATAAGTCACTGCGACACTCTTACCGTCTATCACTGGGCCCTAGCCATGCGTCCACACGCAGAATGTTGCAGGCGTAGGCCTACTCCTCTCATGGGCCCGTTGAGTGCAGTTTCGTCGGGAGTGCGCAGGATCCGACATCGTCATGTCACTTTCGCTAAATCTTACTGATGCGACGATGTCTCATCATTCACAGGCGTGTGGCGTTTCGGAGGTCTTTTCTGCCTTCGGAAGAAGACGAAGGACTTCTATGTTCCTCTGCTACTTTCGAGGGACGAACAAAGCCGTAGACGGAGATGTAACAAGTGTATTCATGTCCAAGTATGAAGAGATCGTCACAGAAAAAATTTCGGTTGGCAACCTACAGTTAATTTCTCGTTTCAAAGTGTAACGACGACAAGACGCTTTCGGTGCATTGCATGTTTTAGATAGAAGACTCTTTGACAGCAGCAATAAGAGCCTAGTGACGCAAGAATTCATCTGTACGTTCAGATGGTGGACCATACACCTCATGTGCTATACACATGAGGATAAGATGTCAGGCAGCGAGCGAAATATGACATTTCCATTCGGGAGGAAAACAATCTGCCATAAGCATGCGCGCATGTTCATGACAGTTCCAATATCCATCACATCCACGTATATCAGCTTGAACAGACGGCCTTCCACAGAAGGAAAATTTATACATGTGAGACAAGACCGCACTTCTTCAATACACACCATGGCAGCATCACCGCGTCGCCGGAAAAACAATGTCATCCAAGTCAACTGGGCTTATACCGAAAGAATTAGTGATATCAATTGCGAATATATATTCAGCTTTGAAGCTGGCAAAGAAGAATCCTTTAATGGTAAGATTACAATCGAAGTCTTGAACAAAATGTGACTTCCAAGATCTTGAACTGAATGGTTCGATCTGATCGTCCGATTGCGGGGTACAAAGCGACGACCAAAACAGAACGGACGGACAGGCACGACACGGGGCCGGATACTTGACATTGATCTCGTCCAGCACTCCAAATGGTACGTAGCAGAACGTGGGAACATTCGAAAACATGACTCAATTGGTCCAGAAATTGGGAAGGTGGGCACTGACAGTTTCTGCTGTGCGTGCATGCACCATCCTTTCATCATGCCACCTCGTAAGTACGGCATGGTCGTCTGGTAACTCACCGAGTGTGTCAAAAAGGAATTTCGAGAGGAAATTTACAGAAGACAGATATGTTTGATTGCCTTGCCTAATCCTAGCAGGCACTCATTCCGGGACTTCTACTCTATGGGACGTCTATTACTCTGGCGTGTGGCACTTTTGCTCTCAGCAAAAAATATACTACTGTGATGAAGTTACCTGACCTCGATTATGAGGAGTAGGTGTTGGAGGAAGAATGAAGTGTTCGAAGTCTAGTTGGCAACGCATGTGACCCTCAATACAGCTTGGGCTGTAAGGGGGTTCAGACTGCTTAAACAAAAAGCTTCCCAAGGATCCGACGGTTGGGAGGATTCGACATCTGCTTCTTCTGCCACTTTCGCAACGGGGCTGACGAGTGGGCTCGACTGCTTGTACACAGCATGTAAATCGACAACAAGTTTCCGAGCTGCCTCGCGCGCTTCTGGAAGTTGGTCATTCAATTGTGCGGCAGCAATCTGAATGAGCGGTTCCAAACCGTACTGGTTCATACCATCGACACCCTGCAAAAGAAGCTCAGGTCGTCAACTCAATGATGTGTAACGATCGCTGCGCTAACAAAAGCGTCATGAAATACCCATTTGAGAAGTTGGTATCCAGCCCTTCTCTACTCTCTGGACCATAACGTCTGCTAAAAGGCCTGCAAATTGAAGTTTCTCATGTTCCTTTGAATGCCGGAATGACGTCGAAACGTAGTCCTGCGATACGTACCAGTCGAGACACGCACTTGTAGACACAAGTGGCGGCCTTGGCTCGAATTCGGGGGTTTCGGTGGCTGACATATGGTCTTAGCTTCTCGAGAGCTGGGTAAGGGGAAAGCCACATAGTCATGCCGAAAAGAGCTTTCTCTGCCTCTTCGCACACGAATCTCTTATCTTGTGTAGCCTTCAGAAGGAGTTGAAGTAGCTGCAAAAAAAAGTTTAGGACAATGATTTAATGACACCAGCTCGCTTTTCAATACCCTTCAGACCGTAATTCGTCACTCCCCTACAAGACAACGGCGTCTACAGCGACCTAACGAACCGACACATTTTAGTACTGCGGACCATGAATGAGGCCTACATCATGGGAAAACGCGGAAGAATGTCCTTCGAGGGAACATCAAGCTAACAAGACAACCTACTTCCCAAAGCAGCATGCACACCATTGCATGAAAGAATCACAGGTGCCAAAATCAGACCCTCCTTCAGATAAACATATTCTCAAGGGAGCTGACGATAAACTCTTCTGTATTTGTAAGCTTACAGCATCGTGAACTTCAAGGTACTCTAGCTAAAGATGGTGATTGTAATTTGAGACATCCGACGTTCCCTTCAATTTCAGGATCACATGATCCAATGCAGATAAGGTGGGTTCATAATCGCCATCAGTGCCTTCGGACTTCCAATAAGCCCTAACCAGCAACGCTCGGCGGTCCAAAGAATGGAGGCAGATCGTGTATGAAGAAATTAGCGCAGTCTAGAGAACAGGAAGTAGAGAGTAGAGCTATACCATCGGGTCCAAGACTTCCAGCATATCATCTTGGTATGCTTTCAGCAGGTCGACTGAAGCCATGATGGCAGTCTTGCACAAAGCACTTCGTGGGTTCTTCAAGGCTTTGACGACAAGTGTAACAACATTGTTCCTGAAACAAAGCAATTTAAAGAGAGGTGTCAGCTATGGCAGTGTCAACGTCTGCAGGCGCGGACAATCAGAAAGAAGCGGCGCAAAGAGGTAAGATTCTCTGCGGCAAATAACTTGTCGGCCTACCAATTGACCGTCTACTCATGACGCACGTCGATTACACTATGTTCGGCATTTACAAGGCAGAGCTAGACAGCGAGGCGAGTCAGAGGAGATGAAGACTCACAAGATGTGTCGCATGGGAGAGGAGTGGAACAGGGCCAGTTGCCGGACGTGGTTAAGGCCATCCAAGACGGTCAGCCAGTCCTTGGAGTCCAACCTTGTCAGCAGAGTCTGCGACGAACAGCCGGAGTCAAGAGTCAGTATCTACAGCAGATGAGAGAACAAGAAGGTCGAACATCGCGCACAGACATTGCTTCCAGCCTACATTCAAATATCGTCACCGAAAACAGATAATCTGCGAAGACGCACAACATTCCTGAAGATGTGCAGAGATCTAGTACTAGTTCCGCCACATTACAGGTACCGATCCGCCACCGGTGGCGGCATTCGCGATCGCAGGACTCAGTGGTATACCTGGATGTCTCCTCGACGTGTTCTTACTGCGCTAAAGATGTAAATGGCAAATCGAAATGAGAAGGAGGAGGGGATGGTCTTACCTCCAGGTTGACATCGGGTTCCTCCAGAGGCTTCAGATCTTCGGACAAGATGTACTCTATCTCAACAACAGGCGGTGCTGCGACTTGAGCTTCCATTGGAGCATTCGAATTGCTCTTCGGTTTGACAGAGGCGACGGGAGCTTGAAGGCGGCCAACTTTGCCCCTGCATACGTCGAGGTTCTCGTCGTTGGGGCCAGTCAAGACAACCTTCATGGGAGCTTTCTTTGCACTGATACTCCGTCTTTCTGACAGGAGTACAGCATTCACGTTTCTTAGGGCTGTTTCGGACATGAAGGGCCCCTTGGCAAACACCTGCGGAGCCAAATTGGAACAGCGGCGAGCAACTAGTGGACCGCCTCCGCTTCCACGAGCTTACCTCACCAATGCCGGTCCTCCTGCGTCGGAAAAACCACCCACCTCACGCTCGCCCGCGAATCCCACCTCACGCTTCCTCCTATATTCCCTCCCTCCCTGCCTCCCCGTCTTCACTCCGCCGCTGACACACGAGCCTCTCTCCCCGCCGTTCGAGCTCCCGACGTCGTCGCCACCACAACCTTCGACGCTCGAGCTCCTGAAACCAGTCGAGATCCTCTCTTTCCCCAATGCACGCGGCACTCAATGTCTCTCTCCCGTCCTCGTGCTCGACGCGGCAGACGCACCAGCGCAGCGATGGCGCTCGTTCCCTCAATCGCTTCCCTCCCTCCCTTCCTTCCTGCGAGTGCTCGTCCTCCTCACTGCCCGAGCTCTCGTCTCTCTCTCTCTCTCTCTGAGAGCGTCTCTGCCTCTCTTCGCTGTGTCTCGTCGAAGGGGAGCCCGCGGAAGGCAAAGGGGGCGCGGGGTTCTTTTTGTGCTGCCGCTCTTACCGCGGGCCTGTATTTACCGTTCGGGCGCCGCGAGGAGGAGCGCAGGCTCGGGGCTCCGGTTTTTACTTTTCTTTTTTACTGTTCGGGTGAAAGCGTCCGTATTTCCCGACGCGCCTACTGTGCCGGTACTGATTCTGCCCGTTGCTTCCGAATTTAGCATTTATTGCGTCTTCGCGGGTCCGCAAGACCGGTCTCTGGATGGCACACCCGTTGCTGCCGAATTTAGCCGGTGAATAGTCCTCGTCATCATCATTCTCCCCTGGCCGCAAAATTCGATCGCGATTTTCGGCTTCTGCGAGTTCGCAAGCCCTCGAAACATGAAATATAATTCTCGCATTCTCCGGAAAAATTTTTCTCCGACGTTATTGGATTACGCATTTAAATGTTTCACTTATATTCGCACGGTGAGTTTACCGTTGTCTGACTTCTCTATTCAAATGCCATATTTTTTGCCTTCAGAAAGCATGAAATCATTGGAGTTCTAAATTAATTATATTAAAACTCTTCGAATTATAATTAAGCTTGATTCTTCGAAATTTATATGTATATACAGTACAGACAGATGGAACGTATTGATTCCTCGACATCGATTTATATACTTGACAAGTGGCGAAAAGATGGTGACTGTTCGAATTAAAGCGAATCTCACCGAAATATAAATAGATTTTATTTTTTCCCGAGGTTTAACAATTTGAAGAGAAATCTTTTGGGAGAAAATGTGAGATATTTTCTCATTTCATCGTACTTGGAACAAACACCGCCCAAGAAAACTCCGGAAAGTTCTTTCTCCGAACGCACAATCCACGAACGATGTCGACAACGTAAATGCTCCAGACTCGCTTGCAGAACGAAGGATTGCTCGAGAGTTGTGATTGGATGCAGACGCAAACGCATCCGCGAGAAGAATTTACTAGGAAACCATCAACACACATGATTCGTGAATCATCGAACAGCATAAGAGGGAGTGGTAGGAGGGGGATATGATTACGTGGGTAAGGTGTGGTGCGGGGTGGTGTTGTAGCGGTGGTGGGGGAGGAGGAGGTGGGTGAGTGCATGATATGATTCATGAGCCTGCTACAGAACAACCCGAACTGGCACTCCTCATTTTCGTCCAGTGGGTGATAGGGTGAGAATGAATGATCGTCGAGAAGGGTTACCTCCTAAATTTCTCATCACGATCGCCCTCCCTCCAGGTGCTACGAGTGTCGTTGTTGGTGCCGCTTCTGCTCATAGTATCAGCAAATCCAGTAAACATGGTGTCCGAGTTCGGTGCTGCACAGCGTGTTTTCCATCCAGCTTAACATTCTTATTGACTCTCCGAAGTTTGAACTGCCTTATGATCCACGCAAATCCACGGATCTATGCACCGGCTGCCTCCGGACGAAGGCGGACGGATACTGCAGCACTACTGCATCGGCCGCTCTAATTTAGCTTACTGTGATCGCGGGATTTGCTGCACTTGCTTCGAGTGCCGCTAATGTGGACAGAGTTCCTCGCTTTTGCCACTGGTCCACGAATGTTCCAACTTGTTCGACAAGCAACTGAACGGCCATCTCCCAGGCGTTGGCCACGCCCGCTTGTGTCTTTTCATAGCCATCGACTATCCTTCCGATCAATCAAGTTTCAAAAATTCCAAGTCTCACCCTGAAGAACTCCGGTTCACATGTATGAGTTTTACATGAACTTCAAGATGTGAACTATGGGTCCGGAAAAAGTCTAGGAAACGAGTGGATCAAACGCAGACCATTTGAATTTTACGGTGTGACGTGCGCTTTAATTATTCAGGTCACGATGAAAAGTAATAAAGTGAGAAATATAACTTACGGAGAAAACTTTCAGTCACAATCCGACTCCGCCTTGAAGATTGAAAATGGAAGTTTGCAGAGAAGACTGTTAAAGTGCCCGACTTCCCTGCAGATTCTCCAGAGTCAACGCATCATGTGGGCAATTGTACATGACACTTCTCACTCCATACAGGCTCCCACATGATTGAAATTCGAAGACAGCGAGGTAACGGTAACAACTCCACACTATAAGGAAGGAGCTCATGAAAACAGAGGAATGTTGCAAAAACAACAAAAATTTCACATCACTTCGTACATGGATCAATCCAATCTAGGTCCCAAAGCATCACAATGTGAAATATGCACCACTATCTCAATTAGTCTCAGTCGATCTATGTTAAACTTTCTATATTTTATTCAAAAATATATGAAACATCATCAAATTAGTTGTTTCTTTTCCTGTAGATTCTATATAAAAAATAAATATATAATGAATATGTACACTATATTCTAGTATATTGTATAATATATGACAATATATTGAAGGAGTGGCTATTTATCATTCACTTGGGGGTAATTAACTCTCACCCTACGCTCGTCTCTAATTGGTCAAACATTATACAGTCGTGTCTCTATTGGTAAAACACCCTATTTTGAAAGTAGTTGCTATTCATCCACGAACATTCCATGGACCAATCAGATAACTCCATGTAGAAGAGTGAGGGCTAATTAGACCCAAGAGAGTGATAACTAGCCGCTCCTTATATTGACAATATCTTTGTCAATTAGTACTGCTGGATATTATCACATGTTAACACTCAATTGCCATTGCTATCACACTCACAACATCAAAACCCAAATATTTACATTACCGGAAATGAAGATGGTGTGAGGTTAGTAGGGGTGGATATACACCATATGCATATCTTCAATGTTTGAAGATATGCATCATTTACTTCTTCAGTCGTATGTAGAATCTCATGATTGCAAAGTATGTAGACGGGAATTCAGCTGTTCTCTAATACAAATAAGGCTTGGTCCTGATGCAATCATTAATTTACTGGTAACTGTTGCTAGTAGCAACATGAACCGGAGCAATGGTGAAGGCTGTTCCCACTATGTCATGCACTTGTAGATTTCAAGCGAGCTGGGCAAGAGAAGTCTGCTGCAAATTGACTATCAGGGCACATCAAGGAGATAGAACATTCGTCAAGACTCAAGACGTGCTCCTCAATCGCCTCGTGCATACTTCAGTGCGTCTCGGCTCCGGAATATATCCCCATTCTTTTTCTCCTCGGTGGACCATTTTTTCCTTCCTAGGGAAAAAAGGATGGACATGATGCTCAGCCTTGTCGCTGCAAAACATTTCATGGAGATTTCAAGTCCAAGCCAGATAAGCTTTCCACCAAAACAGGCTGACTTTCGTGTACGCACAAGCGGAAGTATGACCAGCGCCATCATAAGCTCTTCATCACATGGGCACGAAACATTTGATGCCTTCTTCCCACTGCTGGAAAACTGTGGCAAAAGTGACAACTTTCTCTTGTGAACAGTTTGGACGCTTTGAGCTTGCTCGACCATCTGAGCGACGTATACAGTATCTTTTTTCAAAGTCTGGAAGACAGCATACTATTGGAGTTAAAGAAACAGTGAGCTGGGCATTAGATATTTGTGAGCAGATGACAAGTTACATCTGGGCTTCATTCGTTATCGTGTTCCTATCTGTTGCAGCGTTTTGACAACTATGGACCTTTAAGAAATCGAGCAAGTCAATCACTCCGTAGGAGATCTGTAGTCACTCTCAAACCTAGAGTGAACCATAAATGCTACCTATTCATGTCGAGACTATTGAGGGAATATGACTTTCTATGTCACCTCTCTTTCAGAGGGCTTTAAAGTGGTTTCTGCTTTAGCACCTGGTGATCATGTAAGTTCTTTGAGTGTTTTGTTCTCGTTGCCGATGTGACTTTCAAGGCTTCGAATTAAATGTTGTGCCTTTATTGACAACCCCAAAAAAAAGTGAAAGCGGCAGGAGAATTTGCTGTTATAATTTTTGCACAATCAGACAGTTTTAGCATTTTTAATTTAGACCCTTTTTCCATAGATTGCAGGCAGACCATCTGGACTAAGAGTAATATACAGCTCTTCTTCTTTCAGAAGAAAAAAGTCCATCTGGCTTTGCTCTAGCATACGCTCAATAAACGAAAAAGATGTTCGGCCAGCCATGCAGAGATGTGTGTGCGTACGTCCGAGTGAGAATCCATGTTTGACTTGTTTTTGTACATTGCGGGATGTGATACAATAAAGTGGGAGGAAAGCACGCAAGCAAAAGATTCTCATAGAAGGCGCTTGATTTTCCAAACTTTCGAGACTTACCCAATGCCACCAAGTTGGTTGTGGCTTGATCTGGTCGAAGGATGTTTTATGAAAATCCCAAGTCTGTGGAGACTTCGGCCTGTCATTACGAAGGCTGGGAGAACAAGACGTTTCATGATAAAGATATTCCAGCTTTTTAGAAGCGGAGAACTAAACCTCAAACAAGCCAGGACAATTTTGCCTACTTCTTACAAGTGTTGCATCGAGAAACTACCAAAATGTTGTAGAAAGTAACATTGAGTTTAACTTCATCTTACGTCCATATTGTGGAAGAAAAAGGCTACTCCTTGCTCCCTATCGTGACGGCGTATAAAAGCCATGCAGCTCGAATTTCAGTGGATAAAGTTTGCATCATTCGAGAAACGAGTTATGCGCGAATGGCCTCGGCTGATGTCGATGAGCTCCACATCTTGTAAGGCCTATGAATGCACATGATTAGCAAATTCGTTCGTTGCAAGTCATCTCCTCTTTTTCTTGATACATATGTTGACCACATTCAGGAGTTGTTCGTGACAACTGCAACGCGGAGACTCAAGCGCTTGATTCTGAGAATCGGAGCAAGAATCGCTCCCTGCCTTGCACAACATTCATGATTATGTACCAAAACATTCAGTATTGGGCTCACACCATCAGTGGCTACCAAATTCTGCCCAACCTTTTCCCCATGAATGTCCTAAAGGAAACAACAGTATATCACCCAAGACGATATCAAAAGATAGTTCTCAAAAGCAAAGCCAGAGCAAACATTCAACTTAATCAGCATCTAATCCTAGAACCTGAAGCATCTGCATCCCAACACGCATGAAACTCAAGGGATAGTTGAAACATTGTTACCCACATGGCAAGAGAGGAAGAGAAAGAAGGTCGGAGCCCGAGACAGCAACATTTAGGGCTGACCCAATACCAAGGGAGGTTTATATGATAAGTCACCTTCGTGTTTGAGTTATCTCTCTTTGAATTTCGATTCTGTAGGCTCGATCTTCTTATCTGGCATGAGAATCTATCTGTGGTTTCGTAGACATCCCGTCCCTTTTTATAAAAAAAACTCGCATCTCCACATTTATACAACTCTAGAAGAAATAACATGTGATCCCGTCAGAACTGGCACGAACTTAGCCACAGTGCAGCTTCATTCAAGAAGTAGTGTATCACAGAAGGCCCACATACGGTGGTACACATCGTTCTTGCACATACTGCGGTACACTAGTGCTATGTGGTTATAGCCTGAGCTTGATCCAACAGCAAGAATAGCGGGTCACACTAGAACCTCGCTTTATGGGGACACCGTCGGCTGCAAGGCCCGTGGATGTGATCGTCGGGACCGCCCGATTTCAGTCAACCCTCATCTCTGACGGTACCAAAAATCTCAGGAAACAATCTGGCATTTCAACAACGCATCGACAGGCGCTGTATTCCATCGCGTTGGAATCGAATCGTGCAAGAAACCAAAGCGAGAATGTGAATTTTTTCAGAATATTAACTCAGCACTTCATGCTCAGTCTTTACGCATTATGGATTCGCTCTCGTCCCCGGAATCTGGAATAAACCCCGAGCACCGAGAACCCCACCTTTCCCCTCGCCGTTCAAATTCCGAACGTTCGAAATTCAAAGTTCAAACCAAACGCTTTGTCTTGACCCGCTCGGCCTCGCCGCTTTGCGCGAAAGCAGTTACGCAGAGTCACGCCGAAAGTCGGAGGTCGATGTTCGAAGCAGAAGCAGGAACTTTCCCCAATGCTCCCTCATGTGCTAGCCGTTGTCCCAACCTTCGTTTGACCATAGTTCGATTCTTGACCACTGTCCAGACGGGGCACCCGTACCTCATCCGAAGCCTCCATCGATGACCGTCTTTTGTTGTTCGTTCCTCGTCCTTTGTTCTGTCCCCTCGGTCTTCATGCAACAACCCTCGTGCATAACATATTGTTTCGTATCTCGGATTTGACTCTTCATTGCGACTTTCGAATTGAGGTTTGTGGGTTTCATAAGACTGCGGAAAATCGTCTCTTGGAATGGGATCACAATCAGCGGACATTCGGAGAATGCTTTTCGTTCCATGCCTTTCTTTGACAGTCGATGATGAGCTTGACCGAATATGTTTGACGTGAGATTGTACGTCCGATATTTGGACAATCATCAGGGCTCGCCGGGAGACGTGTAAAGTTTCCTTTGCATTTGTTTCTTGGGGTTGTGCACACCAGCTTCATAACGTGGGTCTTCTCGTGACCATCTGGTTTCCTCTCTCTCTGGTGAAGGAGTAGTTGCGAGACTTTTACGTTCTGAAAATCCCTCGGTGGAATATTAGAGCTCATCTGGATAACCACATTTGCACTAATGATGGATGAAAAACGCCATCCCAAGGTTACAGGTTGTAACCTCGGGATTTGTCAAAAGCGTCTTTCTGGCCAAAGCAGAGACAGCCACCAATTTAAGTCAAGGTTCGAGCTGTCTCTCCATGGACAAGCACATGACAAACTTCAGTCTTGGCCCACAAGGCAAAGTTGAGGCTGCAGGATCACAGCTGCGGCCTTTGTGTGGTCTCACATCCCTACAAAGGTCCATGGATTTGGGTCGATGCAATCTAGAGCTGTATGATCATAGATCGATCCCGTTAGGCTTTTAAGACTAGATTCAATCACCAACAGCTGACTGGTAAAGCTCTCGATCGAGGATGATCGATCCGTCGCCCTCAAACAGGTCGTTAATGCAATAGGTCAAACAAGGGCGTTACTGCAATAGGGCTGGTTTGTGACGGTGGCTCATCAATAAGACCACTAGATTACCTTCATGGAACAACAATTTCACCATGTTTTACGTCTTGTTTTAGTCTATGTTTAGGGTTTAGGAAAAAGATTACTCTAGAGACAAATCTGCAAGCCCATGTTCATGAACTTTGTAGATGGAGCAAGTAGAGTTAATTTATCAACATTATTGAAGGTAGCATCCAACCTAATGTTGGAGGGAGCAAGGACGTATCGCAAGAATTTCATAGAGGATGATACTCCCAAGGCAATAAGGATGTGTCATTGGCTTCTAGTGTTAAGAGAACTAGTATTCTCGATCATGGGATGTATCAGTCAAACTTGGCAAATGCCGTTCAACGAGCCTAGAGTACGGGTCTGCCAAATATCAACTAGATTGGTGAATAACAAGAACAATGTTGTCTGTTCGGTGTTGTCTTTAACACGTGTTTATCAACTTTAATGAACGTTGTTGGATCATGGTGCAAGACTTATTTTGTTGGGTAAAGATGAACTTCTTGGTACTGTATTGGAGGATACATATGTGAATAGATGTTCAGTTGAAACATCTCTCGGAGTGTTTAATAATGCACATGCATCATAAATGGTGCAGGCGTATGCAAGTGGCTCCGAATCACTCCTTGAAGTGATTGAATGGTTTGCTTATCATGCTCGCCGTGCCTCTTCGGCGTGAGCATGTGAATCCAAAGCAATTCTATCCCCAAGACATTTGTGCAATTGCTTCACAACGAGTCAATTCATAGGATTGCTTCTCTGGTACCAACTGATACCCACAGAACCCTTGCACCGTAAAGAGGTTTGTAATCCAGGTCAGAATTTCATTGGAATCACAACTGTCTTGCGGATAGTAGAACTTGCTCTAATCCTTTACAGATGTGGTTCATAAAGAGAATTGCTGCTTCCTTCTTCATGCTACAATTTCCACCAGACTAGAAAGCCTGCACAGAGAAGTGAGGAAAAAATATTAGGAAAGCTATTTAGGCGTCACACGGATTAAACCAAACAGGTAACCCGAGGCGAGACCCGAAGTTCATAAGTCATCAATGTTTAGATTGACCGCGGTCAAGTATGAGATACATTCGAGTTTACTCTCCGGGGCGGACAGTAGTTCGTTAGTTCGTAGTCCCCACTAGCTCACCACTCGCGGCGAGAAAGGTTGTGAACACCCGTTGCCATGTTCAGGCTCCACATTTCCACGAACCCGTACCAACACGCATTCGAAGAGTTCGCTAAAGTGGAGGGGGTACGTGAAATGTTATTGGCCTGTGGAACCATGTGTCCGCAGCTGCAGGCAGAGAGTGAGAGTGAGAGTGAGAGAGAGAGAGAGAGTGTGTGGGGGCCTGGAGACATCAATGTGCTGAAAGAATCATGTCGCATTGCACATAATGCAGTTCGGGTTGTGTACGCCTGAAACGCCGTCCACATCCTCCCTACCGAGGAGGCCCATAAAATCGCAAGGCTAGTGGATTTGCCACGATCCAGAAATCTGATGGTTGCCGAGAAATTCACCCCGTACGTCCTCGGCGAGTTATGTCTATAACTTCCCTCGTCCCTGCTGATGTCCTGTTCTTCAGATCCCATCAAGAGTTCCACCAATTTGCTTGACCTTGCGCCAATTTCACCTACAGGATCAGCAGTCCAGAATGAGGAGGGTTTATTATGAGGCAGGTGTCACCTACTCAAATTTGTGGATTGTTCGGATGGGCCCTTCGGATTGGACACATCGGCGCTTGATTATCTGGGCTGCCACTTGTAGAAATATACAGCGTGTATAACAGAACCTCGGTCACCTCTCAACATGTTCAGGAAAGTTTCTGAAGGTGGCACCAGGTCATGGACCATCATTGTGTTCCTTTGCAAAATATGCCAAATGAAATATATATATATATATATATATATATATATATATTAAACTTACTCCTAGTATCCACTTACACGCTGCATTAATTCAGGAAAGCTACATAGACCCCTGGAAAAAACCTAGACTAAGATTTTATATATATATAGAGAAAGAAAAACTGTAAGTTTTTTCCATGTTTCACCCATTGATTTACGCATGTTGCATAGAACGATTGAATTGAAACGAAAGCTCCAACTTTCTACCGGATTCTGCCAGACAAAATCCGTTCAGTACTTTCGTCGGTCCAGAAAATGAGTTTTGGGTTGCAGTCATGCCTTCCTTCCCCTTGACAAACGATAGTGTTCTACCTTTAATACCATAGGACGAAGCAGGAAAGAATTATGCAAGAAAGATACATAAGAACATAAATGAGTATATCCTAGATTCGTTGCTGACATCCTGCAGTATGTCAGAAGACAGAATCTTATGTGGAAATGTGACAGCCATATTTAAAACTCCGCATTGTCTACAATGTGCAGAGTATAGTTTTGTTGGCAATTTAGAGCAAAGTATTAGAGCTTCAGATTGGTGCTCACTCAATTATAGTATCCTGGTCTTGTGAAGGTCGATTGGGTACTTTTCCCTGTCTTTTCTTGTTGGTTGATTAAATTTCCGTCCAGTACGCTACGAATTGAATATATACACTTTAAAGATAAAGCTATATTTCTCGGTGCATGTTATAGTTTAATATTGAGATCAGAATACTCGTATTTTTTCCTTATTGGTAATCACATTAGGTTAGTATTTAAATATTCATGTAAATCTCACTAGATACATATAATGCAATCACTTTTGTCACAATACGATGGAATTATTGATATACAGCCACCTCTTACTCCTTTAATTTCATCTGTATACCTTTTGATATGTCTTGTATGTTAACTTTATGTCGGATGGGAAGACGTCATGACTGCAGAAGGTTTTACCCTTTTACCTTCGTGCTACGCTGCCTGCTCACGGCAAGGGTGCATGATTGCTCAAAGCACACACGTGTCGGTAAGGACCGAGATCCCCGTCCTGTCTTAAGTGCCGTTAGTTTGAACATGTGCGTGTTAGAAGACGACCGACAATAGCCGGTGATGTAGTCGTTGGTCGGGGTAACCGACATTCATCACAACATTCAGTAGATCATGTTGTATTATGATGTATCATTACAGTACTTGTATCATTATCCCCCTGTTTCCAACTTTCCTTGAGCTCTTTTAATTCCCCGACTTGGTTAAAATTGTTATTCCCATATCTAGAGTCGAATTCATGTCCGTGAGCACTGTGCTAAACGGTAGCAGCAATGAACACAACGCTGATACACATAACTGTGTATGCCACTCACTCTGTCTCTTGGTTATAGATTTAAAAAATTGGTCGTTTTTACCAGTGATTTGAATGTGATCGATGATGATCTGATTTGCAATCGTTCAATATTCTTTAAAGTTTGGAGATTTCATCACTCTTTTTTTTCTATCTTTCATTTTTTTAGAACTGGCATCAAATTTTTTTCCAGTTCTTTAATCTATTGTTGTAGATTTTTTCTAAGATAAATTTATAAATATAACTGCATAGTTTAAACATCCATAAAATTCATATTGGGTAATCTGTAAGGAGGGACGTTGTGAAAAATATGAATCTCAATCTTTTGTGAAAAAGTGGTTATTCATTTCATGTGGAAACTTGAAGTTTTGAAATTGTATATATATATAAAAAGTTATAGTTTTTATATCCTTGGAAAAAAATTAGATTATTGAACATAGTTACTTCAAGAGAGATATATATTGCAATATAAATTTTGAGCTAGTATTTTTCTGTAAAAAAACTATTTACTATGCCATGGAATTCTTATGAAAATAAAACGTACAAAAAAATTTCCAAACAAATAAATTTGAACTCAAAGTCTGGCTTCAGACCCTAGACTTTGAGTTCAGACTTAAATCTAGGGATTATAACTCTACATCAACCTGGAGTCATAAAAAAATGTTTGATATGTTTGAACATCCAATATCACTTTGCTGTCAAGTTGTATATATATAGTGTTTACATAAATTTCAAATATGCTATTTGTGGTTTATAACTACAAAGATATTAAGGTCTACCTAACATTTTGAATATTTTGTAATAAAATCTTGCACATCTATCAAAATTTCATGTCAACTTCATTGTAAAATTAAAAATATTCTTTGAGTCAAAATATCCAGAATTTATGATATCCTACATAATCATCAACGGTTTAGACAACTGCTATGAATTTGACAAATTAAATAAACTGTATATTTGAAATATATGGAAAGAAAACTTCATGAAAATGTGATCGATATTGTCTCTTTGTATAAGTACTGATCTTGGATTAGTTATTGTAGTTATATTTTATGCAGATGTGTTATTGCATTCGAAGATAGGACATAACGTAAGGTCCATCATTGAAATTTCAAATACATGTTATTAAATTATATATGGCAAAGTGAATTCTCTTTCATTCCAGTCGTGCGTGTTATATTGCGTTCACTTGATTTCCATAATCCGAAAACCTTTCGTAATGAACTAGGCACATTTCATTACGAAAGGACTAAACTCTCATTAACTGAGAGGTATTCTGTATTTGGATTATCGAGAATGGGCATTAAGAATCTTACTAACAAAAAACCAAAACAGAAAGGTTGCAAGATTCCTATGAAAACAAAACTCTGAGCACCCAATTGTATTGCAAAAACACGGGGAAATTGAAAAGTGGTGAAATGAAACCAATTGGTCACGACAGGGATAGCCCCAATAGCATAACAACGGGAAATTTGTGTTCTGCACCTGAGATAGAACAACTATCTAGTCTAGCCCTAGGTCCGCCAAACTGTAGATTATGTATGCATTCAATACACGTCCATTGACATGCCTCTTTGGAGAGGAGTGACTAATTTGTCATATCACAGCATTCTGACTGAGCGTCCACTGCTTCCGGCAACTTCATCGTAAGGTGCAGAAGTTCTTCTTTCCCATCCCCTGCATCCGAGTCCTCTGTAAATTCTCTGTTCCGGTGCGATCACTCTGTGCGAGTTGAAGCTTAATCAGCCACGATGATGGACCGGTACGTTGTTTTTCTCTAAATTTCCAGAAATGTCTGATAGTGGGTTGAAGTTTGCTCCTGCCGAGTCTTGTCCGTCAACCTTTGTATACGGAGAATGTATATACTCTGTCGGCTTATGTTTGCCTTCTAATGAGTTTCGTCAGCGACGAAATCACCAGAAGATTAAAGAAACTTACTGGCGTGGATTAAGAGAGTTACTTTGTGAATGGATCAATGTACGTGGACAGAGAAAAGGAAATCAATTACCTCGAATTTAGCACTTAAACCCTGGCTACATTGATTTCCCTCACTCTCTGCAGCTCGATATAAACTGTTATGCAGCTTAAATCTGACTAGTTGAATGTGCTGGGAGCAAGATAATCTTACACTGCGGCAGAGCTTGACTCGAAACTGTCAATTGTTGTATGAATCTCTGCATGTCACGAAATTCCCTGCTTTGTTATTTCACCTTGTAAACTGGGATGGCACCTTCCATGATTATTGATACTTCCCAGTACGTCTTTTTCTACTGAATTCATCGCAATGAAATGCCAAGTGACAGGTTACAAAGAGGTCAAGTGGTTGATTGGATCGAGTTTTGGGGAAATCTATTCTACTGCTGCTTCTTTTTTTATATTTGAAGCTGCCTGCTGATAAAAAATGCATTTCAGGTTCAATACTCCTCAGACAGATGCAGTGGAGGTGGATGTTCTCGGCCACAACTTGCTCATAAAACAGGTACAAAAGAAGACCTTGATGCTGTAGGGTTATCTTGATGTCTGATTCGATTGTCTTTCATTCAACTTGTGGGCACGCTCATGAAAGTCTCTCATTGTTGATAAATGTGATGTACAGGATCCGAATTCCAAACACCTAGGAACAACTGTGTGGGATTCTTCCCTTGTGTTCGTAAAATTTCTGGTATGTCTTTCTTCATTTGTACAGAAATGTAGACGAAATTTTTAAACATGGTACAGTCTTTCAAAGTAGAGCTTGCACATTATTCACAAGCCAATAAGCGAATATTGAGAAATAAGTAGATAAAGTTTCGAGTCCACGGGGTCGTTGACGAAGATAAGTAACATGTAGCTATCTAGAATATCAAATTTGACGAAAGAAAAGATTTGTTATTACGGTTTCATCGGCCATTTGCTTTAGTTTGTGGTGGAATCAGTAGATCTCAAACTGAAGAAGCGTTCATTATCGTGTTTATTACCATCTCTGGCTCCTGCTTTGTTACCGGTAATTTCTTCTGGTCCTAAGGAGCGCAACAGCAAGAAAGGAGAATTTTCCCGTGCGAAGTTAGCTGGGAAGAGGGTTATAGAACTGGGTGCTGGCTGTGGACTCGCTGGTCTCGGTAAGCTCCGCCCTCTGGAAGTTTTTGCAGTATTTATGGGCCATGTGCATCTTGATAGAATTCTCATGGAGGAGCACTTTAAGGCCAAAAGTTGAAATGCGTAACAAAACTTTGTAGCTATATATTATTGACCTGAGCTTTCTTGAGTGAGGTTTCTTTCTCCAAGTGAGTTAGAGCCGTATGATTGTGGTCTTGATTCACCTGTTGTGAGTTCTACTATCCTATGACCGTAGCTCTCCGTTATGTCATCAATGAAACCACCTCCGAGATGCGAAGTGGTACTTGGATGTGAGTTAACAGGTCCTTGGGTTGCATAGTCTTGGTCTTGTGTAAGATGGAGAAGACTTGCTGGAAGCTACTGGTCAATTTACAGATTAGAATTACTCAGGTACTTTTCAAACGTACCAACAAATTGCTTATTTACGGGTCATCGTTACTGCTGTCACAAGTGTGCACCCTAGATATAATTTCGTGCACTGCCCATGAATGAATGGTGTTGAACACCATTTTTCCAGGAATGGCGCTTTTGGGATGCGATGTTGTGGTCACTGACCAGATTGAAGTCTTACCTCTACTGTTGAGAAACGTAGAGCGTAATTTATCAAGAGCGAAGTATACGGCTTCCGATTGTTCTTATATGGGTATGGCTTCTTTCAGGTATCATGCCCTTGCTATCTTGCTTGTAAGCTGCTTTATGACTTGAGCATATTTGTACGCACGGTTCCAGCGTTCAGAGTACAGTTTGTGTGGCGTCTTGGTGACTAGGGTTCAACCACAAGCTTTCTTAGAAGCAACTAGAAAATTATACTTCTTTGTCCTCATGGTTCTGTGCTTTGGGGTGGTTTTCTTCTTCATCAGGATCTATTGGCAAAGTGGATGTTGCAGAGCTGGACTGGGGGAATGAAACGCACATCACTGCTACTGGTCCTCCGTTTGATTATATCATCGGGACAGATGTTGTAAGTTGTTGGAGGCAATTAGATTTTTTGAACTGGAAAGTCGTAGTAAAACCTGCACTGCGGGGTTTCCTAGTGATGATTGCATACAGAAGAACGTGTTTGAACTATCAAATGAAACCCACGTATGTTATGCACTGTCATTTCACTATGAATCCTTGGAGATACATGAAGATCATGAAGACCTCGTTTCTCTTTGTGTCTTCTGCATCCTTTAAATTGTTGTTCAAGAACCTGAAGATATGGTGGTGTTTCATTTCTTCTGCAAGGTATATAAAGAGCAATATTTGGAGCCCCTCATCAACACCATACTTGCTTTGGCCGGACCGAAGACAACAGTGATGGTCTAGCTCCTTACTTCTATCAGCGCCTCTTTGTTTATCCTAGTCCTAACTTATACTCTCTCCCAGTATCTTGTGATGCCAACCAGGCTGTATATTGACATTCAAGATGATGAATATGACAGGCTTGATGTTGTTCAATACATCAAGGAAGCATATACTGGCTTTCTTACCGTTTGGATGTCTCCGCAGCTAGGGTATGAGTTCAGGTCGAGTGGAGTACGGGAGCTTCTAGGCCAACTCTGTCAAAAGCATTTTTCTGTTAAACGGGTTCTGCATTCAAAGGTAAATGTGTATGCAATCAGTTGGTTTTTTCCATGATTATGTGTTTCTTTCAATAGCAACTACTTGTTTATCCGGAAATGTCCCTCAAAGCAAACAATGAGATCTCTACCTTCGTTTCTCCCTTTTCTGTTGTGGTCTTTATTATCAAATACGGGTCTGCACAAGTACTACTAAGATCGTAACCTAGACTCGTTATTTTTAATTGCCAGTCTTGAAAGGGGCTACAATATATCAACGAACACCCTCGTTGCAGTCCTTTATCAACCTCGTGACGTCCTGACGTGAAATGATGCAGATGGATCCGAAGTACCAACATCCCGATATTGACCTTTTTATCATGCGGGTCCGCGACAAGTCGGTAGGTTCTTTCGGCCCTGCAAACACCTACAGTACAGTGGACACATTTAGTGGTGGACGAGTTGGTTGGTAAGAGGAAGGTGTAGCTTAATATCATTTTTAACTTGTCCTTATAAGGTTTCACATGTGCGGTTCACTCCTTGCATGCTATATTTCTCAGTCCTTTGTTGCTCGTGAGAGTACGTGCTGCATCTGATGTATCTGGTCTATGACTTTCTTACAGATGAAAGATGAAGAACATTCAGAGGGAGTTGCGCAGCAACGAGAGGACGTAAACGCATCAGGTACAGAACAGCTTCACGGGGATGAAGAAATACCTGTCGGGAGAGTCATCTGCTCAAAACGGCAGGATCTACACATCAGTGCAGATTTTAGATGACAGGTCAAGGAGGATGCTGAACTTATGCCTTTCTAACGTAAACAGGGGGAATTCTGTACAGGTGGAGTGGATGAAGAAAACGCTGGTGAGGAAGATTTGTGTCAGTTGGAAACACCTAATAATTGTGTGCAGGGTGAAAAGGTGACTACAGACTCTGATACTGAGGACAATGCGTTCACTTTTCGGAGAATGGGATCCGCGGCTGCTCGGCTTTTATCAGACGTAGAACCTCCCACCGTGGTTAGAAATCAAGGATTTTTCCCCTCACATTGAACCCTTTCGACCACCTGTGCTCTTTAGAATGTTACCATTTTTGTGTCCATTTGATGCTGTTCTGGAGGTACACATATCGAAAAATAGAGACGTTTGACCTTGAATTATCAATCAAGCCACGGCAAGAAGTTGTAGAAGTTGCTTTCAAGAGAGTAATCATCAGGATCAGTCAGTCCGATGAAATGTAGGTTGTTGATGTGCTGGAAGGGGAAGCTGGCAAGTCCCTTCCATCACTGACGGTAGTGAAATCAATGAATAAATTCAAGTTTTTTCTTTCTTGTATTTTGTGATCATCAGTCTCCTCTTCGAAGTTGGTCTGGCAAAGTCATCTCGTTGAACCTTCTTGAAATCGCGATACATACGCAATTTTCAGTATTTGCATGCAGGGACAGTTTTTCCTATTTAATAAACCTATCCTCTAATTAGAGTACGCTTATATTCTGAACCAGGGGATTCCATTGTCTCCGTTATCAGGTAAGGGGGACATGACGCTTGCATGCACACATCTAGTTCACAAATCATCACAATACTTCTGCAGAGATTTGAGTACCTTTAGCGGACCTGAAACAAAGCTGGTTTCAGGCCTGCTACACAGTATCACCTAACCCTGTAAGTCTGAAGATGGTTTCCATGATGAGTAAGTGAAAAAATTTTGATGGTCAGCAAATGTTATGGACATGAGATTTGACTATTCACAGTTCGCACCCGGAGGGGTGCGAACTGTGAATAGTCAAATCTCATTCTGGTTAACCTAGCTTTCGACTTACGTATAAACAAGTTTGACTTGTTTTTGATGAAGTAAGCAAGTAATGCTGAAGTTTCTTCCGCAACTTGTTCATGATGGATTCTCACTTCTCATAATTCATCCTTGTGTTTTCCATTATCTCTATAAAATAACAAGAGTACTCTAAAGTACATCCAAAACCTTGATCCTTGTTATGACGAGATGAAGATCGTCATTGATGATCTTTATCTTGATTTTTAAGCAAGATTTTAAATATTTTGAATTTCTAAGTGATTAAATACGGAACGTATCACATAATGTGCAAGAGAGACTTAAAATTAGAAATAAAGGACTGTAAGTTTAAATATTATCCACTTTGTGCTAACTAGAAACTTATAGTTTTCTTTGGAGAGAAGTCTTCTTTCTGCATCATGTTGTATGATATTTTGACACATCATCTTTTTAACATACAAATAAAGAGAAAAATCACATTGACGTTTACAATTATGGCAAACTTACATGTTCCTCTTATGCGTAGTGTTTAAACTTCACAACCTGGGATCACTCTCCACCCCGCGTCCTTCCCGATCTCATTGTCTTAGGAGACCTCCCTTCATCCTGCAGGATATATCGAACCGAAGCTACTTAGTAACTGGACAGTCACTACATTAACTGGCCAGTCACTACATTGGATACCACCGCTGCTTGGTTTGATTGCCTGATAGAGAAACAGTTCATACTGATCACCGACTAGTAAAAACAGGCAACACCGCTTTCAATGGTGCAGCAGTAGGGGAGCGTCCGGCTGATACTAGTGCTGGTAAAGCTGTCGTATAAAAAAAGTTATTAGAGTTTTCGCGAAATTCTAAATTCTCAGCAAATAATAGATCAGCATGCTTTAACCACATGACGTAGAAAAAGAATGAAACAGCAAACGCTGCTGTGGATAGATTGGAATCATAACCGTGATTCCAAACCGTGATTCCGTAGAAATTGGAACTCAGACTTCAACCACTAGTCAACACCTGCTCGTACTATTGAATCGATCTGTACAAGCACTTAATCCCACTTGGCAGCATCCTGCTTGTCTACAAACTCACTTTGAGGGCTGGGCATGGGTCGCTATCGAGCCTGCCTGACATTGCTGCCGAGATACAAAGATGGGCTCACTTCCTGTAGTGAGGGAAGAAGGAATCATCAAAAGAATGACCTTTTCGAGTTTGATGAAATCAAAAATAACTGGTAAAAGTCTACAATATAGTATACGTGATGAGTCATGAGTCATGACTCATCACGTAGTTACTACAAATCACAACAGTTAAAAACTAAAGAACTTTAACTTTAACTTTTGTGATATTAATTCCTTAATTAATTAATCCTCCCGACCATGTATGATGATTTGGTGTGCCAACTACAGTGCAGATATTGTATAGTTCGTCGGCCTCGCTGCAGTTCACCCATTGCAACAATTTTGTCATAATAAGGGATACTGGACAAAAGGCTGAGTACATGCAATTCTACAAAGTCGCAAATTATGACAACTGCAGTAGGATTGTAAAAAATCAGTTGAAACAGAAACAAAAAAAAATAGACTCCGCTAGCTAAACAAAAAAAATAATTCAGCAAAATGCTAGGTATGGACTCAATTCTTTTTGGAAGAACGTGATGATAAAGTAGCCTTATTTCTGCAGAGACATGAAAATAAGCTTTGTTTAAGTGAAAAACTTTGAGAATTATTAGTTAATGTAAAACTTTTAGATTCTCTATTCAGTCTTACACGGCCAAAAGCCAGACTGAAGTTAACGTACTCTGATTGAGGAAATGACTTCTTAGGGTCATTTAGCAAACCAGAATCTGGGAATGACTCTTATTCATAACCCGCTGGTAGGAGTTGACCGTCTCCTACCGAATTTGGGTGAGGCGCCGAAAGAGCCTCTACTAGCTAGGCATAAAAAAAAAATTCATCTAAAATGTCGTGAAAATGTGAGGTGTGAACTTATCTTTCCATGAAAAAGATGCTGAGTGAAGGAAGTGATGATGAAGAAGCGTTATTTTTGCAGTAACATGGATTGGCATTTTCAAATACATAAAAAAACGATCAGTGTTGTAAGGTCTTTGCCTCTCTAGATAACCTACCACTACCAAGCAGGCTTTCTTCAATTGCTAGAAGCAATTCACAAATGGCAATTAGCTGAGTGGCCGTGCGCTGGTGAGGTTCATTTCAGAGCACTAAGATTTGTTCACAAATTTAAGCTCAACAGACGTCTAGCAAGACATCACAAGATCTGATGGTTGTCGCCAGCATAAAATCATACATCTGTGTTAGGACGCGGCTGCATCGAGCACGGAGGTAAGTAAAATTTACCTAGCTTCTATGAATGTCATGGCAAGGTCAAAAACAGCGGAAAGGAGAGGTAGAGGATGATAGAGGATGGTGACGAACTCTCGAGCTCCAGAAGGGTGGCATTGACGGCAGTGGGGTGCATGGTCTGGGATTCCATGTCGGATTCCGAGTCAAAGTCTTGTAGTACGTGTCAGGTTTTCTTGGACTTCGTCTGCTTTTTCTTGTTCTTTGAGGGGCTGTCGTCCGAGAATCCAGCAGTGGCCTTGGCTTTGAGACGAGCTTGTGTGGCAACCACCGAGTTCACCGCTTGTTGGTACTCGTTGAACTGCATCAACTGGACATTGAGTCCGAACGTCCACAGAAACATGGATGGTCACTGAAATGATTTCTCGAAGTAAACGGCAATTGAATGGAACGATTTTTGGATAGTTCAAGTTGAGTGATACTTTTGTTTCAGATCAAAGACGAGATTTATACTAATTTCAAATTTTCCCGTTGTACTAGCTTTACCGATAATTTAGAAACGTTGAAACGTCTTTGAACTGTGATCAGCATCACGTAATAGACGACGACTACAATATAGGCCGTCTAGCTTTAAATATCAATCATGGAACGTTTTAACTCACTGATATACTCTTAAACTAACAGTTGGATGAAAATAAACAGTGACGAAGTAGTGAACTCATTTATCCAACGTTTAAATTAGAGATTAACTTGCACCACAAACCAAACCGAGTGACTACACGAGCTGATTGTAATTGTACGTCGAGAGAATTTTGCTTTTATCTGTGTGTGAAAGCTAGGAAGAGCAAAGTTTTACCTATATATCAATTTGATCTTACTTCGATCAAAAGTTGAATTCAGCGTGTCAAAATTATCATTTAAATATTCGTACATTACCGATAAATGAGAACGACTGTAATGTCAGTTGGACAATTGATAGTGTGGTGTAAGACGCTTCGAGTCATGGATCTACAAACAAAGCATAGCTTAAATATCCATTAAGAATCTTGAAGCAAACGGCTTCACAGGGCAGAGCTTGTTTCCTATTGACGAAACATTTAAAGGGAGTCACGAGCCTTCAATCCGTTACGTTATCATCCGTTATCATTCAAACTGGTGCAAAATTCAACTTGAGCTCGACGTTGGAGCTTCAAGGCATCGTTGTAACTACGACAAAAGAGAGTTGCCAACTCTGGATTTTGACGAGCATGTTTGTAAGTAAGTGTTTCTTAGCTCAGTGGTGTCGTAAACTCATGGTTTCTGGTCAACTACCATGCTCATAGTTCTAGTCAAGAATACTGATGTCTTACTTGAGCTTCAGGTCTCTTTCATCATGGTTTACGGTTGTCGAATGTACTGTATTACGGGTTGGATTGTTCTTGTGACTCTGAAGATTTCCAACGATTTTTTTAAGTGCGAAAAATTTAGCGAATTTCTGAGTTGAAGAGACCTTTCAAATCAACAAGTGGAGCTGCCTACAGATGAAAATACATCAGTCCGGAGTTGCCAGTCAGATGCGCTATAAAGTCCAGTAGATTTAACACCAACGCACATAAACTCTCGTTACCTTTCAGCTTTTGCTCACAAGATATTCATTCCATTGGATTCAGTCAGCAATATTATAAAGTTGAGCAATCTCTTACGAACAGAGTAGGCGGTACACTCTATCTCTCAAGATGTCACTCCGGGACCCTGTGAAACTGGGTGCGATTATCAGGATTATCAGCATCCCTGGCTTCTTGTTCGATGTCCAGAGCACTCCCTTTGTGCAATTTATATGTAAAATTGTGATAATATGGGTGTTCACATTCACCTTCAAGGTCTTATTTCTGATTGTGTAACTTTCTTCTTTGGCAAAAATTCGAGGCTCAGACTACGGAGACTAGATATTGAAGCCCAGATTTCCAGTCGTCGGAGACTTTCTCATCACGCAGTCATGTTCAAGGGAAAGAGCTGTTGCCAGAAATGTACCAGAGGGTGCAGCACAATTTCATTCCGCTCTAAAAGGTCTAAAGGAGGGAGTCCTCCTAGGTCCAATAAATCACCTGAACAATTCTCTATCCTAGTTGCAAAATTCTGAGCCATTTCAGTAGAGATCAAAGGACTTTTTGCCACTCCAATAACGAGATTGATGCTATATGTTGATGGCAAGACTTACATCTGAGAGGGCAAAGTCCACTCATGCCATTACAGTTTCAACATGCATGCAGAGGAGTTTCACTAGTTCTTAGGATCACCTTGAAGAGCCCGTGCTCGTGTGATACTCTGATTACAGCTTCTTTGGGCTCCTGCTCTTGTCTTTTGGTACATCTGGCCAAACTGTAGATTTCAGGATGCAGAACTCACCGTCACTTCTTCTTCTATGTTGTATCCATTAAAACAAAAAACAATAATGTAACATTACAACAATCTTCACGTTTAAGTCATTTAGATAGCACAGTTTGGTACGTAAATAGTATGAGATCAGCACCTTTCAGGAATAGTCGATGTACATTTTTGATCATCATCAGTTCACAACTTCTGTATGTACGCCTACGTTGCAGCCAGAAGATGCGCCTACGATGCTCGATACATTTGTCCTCAAACACATCGAGCATCAAAGTCCAAGATAGTTACACTCTCTTAGAACTTCTGGACTGGTATCGCATTTGCTGCCATATGTGAGCTTACATTGCATGTTCCATGCAAAACATTTATTTATATCTTCAAGCCACAATCTCATGATGTTGAAATTTTGATGGAATCTCTAGTAGACATGTTTGGATGTCTCAAAAAAAGAAATCTTTCTGTTTTTGTAAAAGCAGTCATTTCTTGTTGTTTACTCTTTTCTATTCTTTAATAAGCTATTACTTTACGCTGGACTCAGTTGTTAATCAAGGTAAGGTATTAGTGCTTAATCAGACGTTAAATGAAGGCAAAATTGTCGCTCCTACAAATGAAACCTTTTAATGGGACATAGTTCACAGGCGCTAGAAATCCCATGTTGATTATTGACTGAATAGAGCTCAGCGACATGGAAATGAAAGCTTATTGAAGAGATTTAAGATTGATTTCTTCAGATCTCCTCTTGCAATCTCACTTGACGGTTTTTGCCGCCGCCCGACTAGACTTAACCTCATCGTGCACAGACTCATGCACCAATGATTGGATTTCGTCGTTCAGTTCTTCTGATAGAAGCGCATTAGGATTCCTGGTCACGACTACGATGTGGATGGGCTGCTATAAAGAGCTTGTCTTGCCATCGCATCCCACCCATAAGCAACCTCATACTATGGATATTCCGCTGGAGTCATCCATCCCAACCGGACATACATGTGATCCGAAAACCAAAAAAAACATACTCTAAGGATCCTTCATAAGTGATCATATCTAATATACCTAACAACTGTCAACTGGCTCACTTTCCCACTGCTGATTGTGAAGGCAACTTCTCCAACCAACCAATATAAGACTGTGAGATATCAGCTGTATGTCTTTTTTTTTCTAGAGTATTTGTCGTTTAGTAATAGTTCGCTGAGTCAATATCCTATGGGTTACGTAGGAATTGACGGCTTCGATTTATTTTGATCTTTACCGTTTAAAGTAACGATATAAGCCCGGATGATATAAGGCCAGTCAGAGAATTAAGGCAGAGAGCATTACAGTGATAAGGGTTTCAAGAGGGAGAATGGGGAGACATCCACGGGAGAGAATCATATGTGAGGAGGTGTTAGTCTTGCTCGGGAAACAGTAGTGATTTCTCGGGCGTGTAGTTATCGCCGGACTGAAATCTTGTAATGACGATAGGAAGGTCAAGTATGAAGAAATTGATCTTGGATATATATACTCGAACTGTCTTCATTGAGGAGTAAGCGGGGAGTAGTCTTTCAAGCTGAACCTCGTCAACAAATGCTTGTGTTTCTATTGTGTGTGAACTGTGCTTTTCTGTAGGTTATGGGGATTGAAATCCTTACAAAGACATAACATCGTCGGACCTATTGCCTATTGATAGGTGTGACGCTCCCAAAGGAGGAGGAGAGAGACCAGATCCTTGTGACGGTAAAATTCATACTTTGACAAAGGAAGACGGTAAAGAACTATGGTATAGTATCTGCTTTCCGGATACGACTGGAATGTGTCGAGCTAGCTATGTCAACGGGATTGTATCATAGAGAAAAGGATGACTCGATAGTACAGATTGTCACATTTGTCACAATATCAGAAAAGGTCAAAGAAGAACGTTCATCGCATCTTCGCATAACTTTAATATTTTACTCCCCTCAGGACGACTGTGTTCCATGCCAGCAGTTTCCAGTCAAGCAGCGCTGCTTTCGATTCCTCGTCGGAATTTCTCTAAGAGCGCTACGACAGATAGATCCGAGGGTGGCTCACCACCAAGCGATATTTCTGAAATTGTTCCCCCGACTGGTCTGAGCCTCAGACCAGTCGAGGGGACCAGACCAGACGCAGGACTGATTTGCTGCTATACATGGACCGCAGACCTCAGGTCTGCGGTCCATGTATAGCAGCAAATCGGTTGGCACCTGTGAGCGAATAATTATCCGAAAATGTGCCACGCGGCATTGAGTTCATTAAAACTTGAAACTTGAGCAAGGACGGCCGTGACAAAACTCCATGAATCCTGCACTGCAAACAACGGGACTGGACACGGTTCAAGGGCCCCAATAGGTCCAGGGGGAGGGCTGATTTGAAGGTCCTCGCATGGCTGTACTCGATCGCTGCTTCTGGTGATGTTGTTGTTGTCCAGCAACGAGGAATCACGCGGAGATTCATGACTTAGCGAGTCACAGGAGGATTCATGGATGGAAGCACGAGCGAAGCGGACGCCTGAGATTGTCGTCGTATTTTCAGAAACTACATGGATGGCACTTGCGAAGATCTTGGCAGTATTTCTCCTCCTGAACTGCCAGTTGAACAATTGTTTAGCAGGTGACATCAGCCTCATGTTGTCATAAAATTTGAATGCCTGATCTGCGAAAAGAGAAAGAAAGAGAGAAACGATAACTGCATATAGTTAATGACAGGAGAGAACATGTACTGAAAACTCTGAAGTCCTCGTTGCTACTGAACACATTTGAGTTTTCAAAAGTTTCCAGCCGACTTGAAGGACATCGAGACACATAAATCGATTTGATGGTATTTTTTATGGTCTGGATGCTCGTTGAGTTTCACTATGATCGACTTGATATTGCTTCCAAGCGTCGTGAAGCGTTGGCTTTGTGTTCGTTGCTTGCCTATGCCTCTATTACTGAGGCTGGAGGACACTTGTCAAAAGTGTTCCTGATTAATCGGATGTTCAGTGGAGCAAGCCGGATGGATGAAATCTGCTCTGTTGATGATTTCCTTCGATGAGATGCTTCGATCGTTCTTCGAAGGATTGCTTTTCTAATCTATGAGGTCTGTTCCTTTTGCTCGCGGTGTGCAGATGTTTCTCGAGGACATCAGAAACTTTGGCGAAGTAATGACGATATTGATCGGATGACTCTGAACTCTGCGTCACATGGGCGGAGTGGAATTGAAGAAGCCAGAAAGTACTTCACTCGAAACCAACAGACGGCAGATGATGTCCTGGGACTAGCTTACTCACATTCATCCTCATTATCAATCACCCGAGATTATTCTGATCTTGTCCAAAGGCGCTCCTTGGCAGGTTCTAGTCCTACTCCTCGTCCTGCACCTGCACCAGATCCAAGAGCAAGTCCGCCTCCAAATTTGTACTCGTGTGGGGTCTGTGGAGAAAATTACAATGCACTGATTGGCGACACTCCTCTCTCCGTCGCTGTATTTTGTAATGTTACTCTCGAAGAACTCATGTCCCTGAATCCTGGTCTGGAGGATTCGAATAACAGCATAACAGATCAGGTCATTGTGATTCCGTGTACAGACACGGCCGAGAGCCATTGTACTAAGTGTGGTGACTCTGTTATCATTGAATCGGGAGACACCATATATCTGATCTCCAGCTCCTGTAATATACCTCGGCTGCACGTGCAGATTGCGAATCCAGGTATTGACTACAGTAACATTTTTCCCGGACAGTACATTACTATCCCCTGTGAAAATGGTATGATCACGAAGAATGTCACACGGTGCGGAGTTTGTGGAATCGGCTTCAAAGTGGAGACAGATGGCAATATTATCGACGTCGCCTCGCGTTGCAACGTTAGTGTTAGCGACCTGTTGGTGAGCAATCCGTCAGTAAATAGTTTAGGGGCGATCATCAAGGGCCAATCTCTACGCATACCGTGCTCTGGACTCAGCTCTGCCAATTGCGGACCTTGCGGCAATAACTTCACGGTGAAACCGATAAACATCGATAATGTAGGTGCCATCTCAGCAATTTGTAGAGTAGGATTCATCGCACTCACAGATGCGAATCCAAATATAGATTTGTACAACAATCTGACAACGGACATGCAAATTAATATTCCTTGTGATTTTAATCAGCCACCAGTGGTGTGCAGTCTATGTAGCCCCCTGTTTTCTTCTCCTGTCCCCGTCGAGATCAGCACAATTGCAAGCATCTGCAATGTCTCGACCGAGGTAATTGCATATGCAAACAATCTCCCTCTCTCGGGAATTATTCCCTCGCCACTGAACCTGACGATCCCGTGTGCCGAGCCGCCAGCCCGCAACTTGCAGAACTGCGGAAACTGTGGATCCTCCTTCACGTTACAGTCGCAGGTCACCTTGGATCAAATCGCAGGAGCATGCGCAACAACTACCGCAGCGATTCGGGGCGAGAACGGGAACTTTACCTTCCGGTTATTGGGGCCCAAGGACGTCGTTGCACTCCCCTGCAATATGCCGGCCATTGGATGTGGCCCCTGTGGCAATGGGTACACGGTTGTACAAGGCGACACGCCATCGTCTGTGGCTGTGAAATGTGCAACCCCCATCGGGCAAATCTTGAAGGCAAATGCAAACTACAATTTCAGTTATGGAATGGTGAAGGACCAAATCTTGCACCTTCCGTGTGGTACAGGACCGAACTTTCCTTCCTTTCTTTCTTTCTCTCCTCTCTCTCTCTCTTCGTCACTTTCTGCAATTCAGGTCCAAGTTGAGCTGAATTGAACTGGCCCCAAGCAGTGTGCTCAGTGGCAGCTTTTCTCGCATGATCTTCGAAGGGGATTGAGTTTTGAAGCTAGAGTTCTCAGGTTTTCACGTTATTATCTTTGTGCATCACATGCTGTGACTGCTCCCAACATGAGTGCCCTGGATTTGACTATGGAAATGGATTCTCGTCTATCACTCCAGGGGCGGGTGATGTTCACTTTTGCTTTCCACTGACGGGTCCCGTAGTGGAAGGTGACACTGTCACAGGTTGTAAGTCGTTTGCCTCGTGCTTCGGTCAGACCACAACTGACTTCGAATCGTTCGCGTCTCAGGTTCCAGCTCGTCGTCACATCTGCTGCGTCGGCCCCTTCGGATTGCTAATCAGGTGCTTCGCATTCTGATTCTCTTGACAATGTTGAATATAACAACATGGTTCGATTTGTAGCCAGTACTATTATCTACGACGCTATAATAGCAAATTATTGAGATGCTTCTTCAAATATTGTCTATACATGTTCCATAGCAAGTTATTTCATTCAGAAAGGCTTGTAAAAGAATTATATGTAAATAAGAAATAGACTAGATAATATTAAAGATTACAAATTTTAATCATGAAACATTATTATATTTTGACATATATTATACAAATTAAATCACAATTTTGAATTTCATTTTAATTTAAAATTTTTCATAAACATTTTCAATATGTATGTGTAGGTATTAACTTTGATAAAAATTTCACTATGATATTAAGATTAAAATTTAATTTTAAATTATACATAATAAAGATAATCCTACCAAAAATAATCATATTATCAGAATTTTTAAAATATTATAATGTATCACGTATGGTAGCCTTCGATTTAAAACCCACCCGTTTATGTACGCATTTTATCACAAAATTTGTAGATACCAACATTTTTCATTGAAACATACCATTTATTGTCATTTGCACAAGTTTTGGTTCTTTTGTCTCAAAGTTGTTTTTTAGATAGTTGAGTGCTTCTTCGGCTTCTGTTTAAACGTTAAATAGATCATTACCTCTTGTGTCTTTGCTAAGGTTGTACTCCAAGAATTACTTACTTCATGGTACTCCATATGAACCTAAAGTACCCTGTAAGTTTCATTATGCCCAATGTTACACCTCCAAAGTTACACGTCACACATATTACAATATGAACAAACGGTGCAGGTAGTGGATTTGTGACAACGATACTATCTAGTCGTCCTCATTAAATCATTCAAATCTTCACTCAACACAATCAAACACTACATTTTCTTAATCCAAGACTTCCACATTGCAGCAAAAATTGTAAAATTATCACACAATTGAATTCTCAAGTATTCCGCTTCCTTCCCTAAGAATTTACTACAAAGCATCCACACATCTGCTGTTGATCATTAAGTCTAATTTCCGACAACTCAAAATCCAAAACCTCTGTGCACTTGTGACAATGTTTGTCACATTTCATCGTTTTGATATTTGTAATCGCAAAGGTTCACTAAAGCTCATATATGGTGCGAGCAAAGAACTAGGGATGCTACTTTCACACTTTTTTCAAAAAATTGTGAATGTGAAATGTGAATTCACACTTTCACTTGTGAAAGTACTTTTTGGTGCCTAGCCGCGCACATTGCCTACAAAGATGCATGTAAGCCCCGCTAGTCACCTTCGATGGTTGTAACGCTACACATCTTTGTGTTACATGAGATATTTTTGACGTAACAATTCTATCCTCGCGACAATTCTATCAACAGCCTGTTTCCCCTCTCCTCTTCTTTTCTCTTTTCTTTGCAAACTTTTTTCCATCTCCTACCTCTCCTTTCCCTTCCTTTACAAACATGTCCGATATGAGTGCATCGCAGCCTGAAACACCGCAACCAAGTGCCTCGCAGCCAACTGCTGTAAGAGCCGTCGCGCGCGAAGACAATGTGATCCATGCGGGCCACGGTTCAAAGAAGAACAAAATCTTCAAGCACTACACGAAGATCCTTGGCGACTACGAGTGCAAAGCTTGCAAATTTGTGTAGAAGAACAACGATCTAGCGTGACTCATGAAGTATTTCATCATTTGTTCAGACGTATCACCCTAAGACAAGGTTGGATTCTTATCTGCTACAATGAGTGTTATGAAAATATCAGAGGGAAGTGCCCGCACTCCAGCATGCTTATTGAATCTGAGTGTCGCATGAGCGCATCCTCCATGAGCATTCCATCAAGCCAGATTAATCTACTAAGATGGCTGGACACAATGACGCCAGCTAAGAAAGAGCAAATCGATCAACTACTGGCAATGGCAATCTATCATCTGGTCCTTCAGCTTGACCGAAGCTCCGGCCTTCATGAGCCTACTAGGAACTCTACGATTAGGCTACTTCCCTCCATCGAGAAATGCTTTAGCCCATGGTCTGCTTGACAACTCCTATGACAAGGTTGTGAAGGGCATCTCTGTCATTCTGGGTAAGAACAAAGCGTCACGTCTCACCTTGATGATCGATGGCTGGACAAATTTGCACGGAGAGTGCATCACAAACTACATGCTCGTGACTCCGGTTGGTCAAAGCATCTTCCACTCCTCAGATCCGAGCAGCACAAAGCGTCACACTTGCAAATTTCTTATGCAAGAGCTACTGAATGTCATCACTACTGTTGGTCCAAGAAAGATCATTGCAATTTGCACTAACACATCAGCGAACATGAAGAAATACGTTGCCATTGTCTTGCGCACATATCAGCACATCCACGCTATTGAATGCAACTCTCATCAACTGAGCTTGGTGATCAGGGACACACTCGAGCTCCCAGCACTGAAGAATGTTTAGAAACAATTGCTGGAGTTGTCAAAGTGATTCCGCAACCGCCAGGTGCCGTACGCGCTGCTCAAGGATAAACACCTTGACATGTACAAAAAGACGATCGCACAAGTCAAAAGTAGCGCTTGAGGTGGTGATTGTTTTCCCTGGCGTCACCAAAGCTCTGCACAAGATAGAGGCTGGCAAAGCTGTATGCAAGCTTGTTTTGATTGCTGACTACTGGTCATGTGTTCACGCTTTGCTGAACATTTTTGCACAATTTTGCGCTAGAATCATTGAGATGGAAACGAACATTCCAAGATTGTCAAAGATGTACATGGCATACATCAGACTACGCGATACGATAGTAAAAAACATCGCACCGCCTGAGCTGCAGACCGTCGTGCTGGAAAAAATCAACTCCCGCTAGCCGGAACAAGAATTGAATTGAGATAATACTATCAACCTATCTAGAAATCTCCCTTGCCAAAGAGTATCAACCTCCGTCGATGAATCCTCAAACGCTGGCCGCAACAATTAGGTACTTCAAGGCATGTTATGAGGACAATGCTCTCGAAAAGTGAGTTTGCAAGTTCAACGCGAGATCATACCCGTTCAAAGATGCAATGCTGTTGGAAGTGGGCGCACAAATCAATCCTCTTCTTTGGTGGCGCTCGCACTACATGAATGAGCTATCTACATTGGCACAAGAGTTGCTTTCGTTTCATACTAGCTTAGGTGTTGCGGAGCGGAATTGATCTACGTTTAGGTAAACCCACATCAAATCTCTCAACAGGCTAAAGAATGATTGCATGGAGAAGCTAGTGTAAATCTACACCAAAGCATAATTGCTATTAGAGAGCTAAAAGAATGGACTACCGTCGCTTGAGTGATTTGTCAATGATGAAGTGCCAGATGATGATCCGATCGCTGAGTAGCCTGCAAGACCGGGTGTTGCACATATGTACTAAGTCTTAGAAGTAATCCGGTGATTAAGTATGATTAGCTAAGAGATAGCTAAGTCTAGCTAGTTATGACTAAACTAGTTAGTTATAACTAAGTTTATCTAGTCATGACAAAGTTTAGCTACAATGTCTATAGTTGGCGTAATAATTAGCGGAGTTCTAGAAGAGTGGAGTGAGCACATCTATTTTGTCTTTTACAAAGGAGTGAGGAATTCTATTTTGTATTTTCCAAAGGTCTAGAATCCAAGGGATTAGATATTTGACTAGAAGTTTGGATTTGATTGGTTTGACTAAATGTATGAAAGATGATTGGCTAGACTAAGTCTAGTGTTGACTTAGTGGCTTAGAAACTTGTAGAAGTTTAAAAGCTTCCAATGGCATGTCGCTACCTCAACCTTGGATTCCGGAAACGTCTAGAAGGTTTAGCTAGGCCAATGGCATGTTACCACGTATAGTGGATTAGTCAAACTTACCTAGGTAAAAGTAAGTTAGAAGAAATTACCACATGTTACTATGGTAACTTCTCAAGTAGTTTAAATAGAGAGGTGGAGTAGCACCTCTCAAGCAAGTTTGGAGAATCATGTGTGAGTATTTGTTTTATATATGAAAGAGTGATCATTTTCAGTACCTTGGAGTATCGATGAGTGTGTGAGTTGGAGTGCTACCTTGAATGATTGTGTGAATGAGTGTTTGGGCTATGAGTGTGAGGATGAATCCTAGTCTTCTAGAACCATGATACACTACCGCAAAGCCATCAGAGGTAAACCTGAATGAGAGTCAGCCTGAAGGTTGCAAGCCAGGGAACATCAACAATTTTTTGGATGATGCAGAGGAGCTGCTTCAGATGGATCTGGTCTTGGAGAATATCGATGTTGATCTCTAGAGATACTTTACAAAGCTAAGTTCAATCTTCTCTTTTCTTATTTGTTGTGCAAGCACTCTTGTATGGTCAAAAATCTCTAGTGAAGATCCGATCACGACATATGGTCACCGGCCAAGTTTCACATGCCTTCACAAGAGCCTCTTGTGAAAGTATGTGAATTCGCATATTTTCACAATTCACACTTTTACGCATGAAGGTGAAAGTAACATCCCTAATATGAACACCTTTCAGAAGTTGGCAACGGTGTGTCGTGGGTGGACTACCATCGGATAAAGGGTTTAGGGTCAGGTAATGGTGTCACATCGGGTAATGGAATCCCATCAAGTAAATACTTCTACCCTCCAAGCGTTTGCTTGGAGTGTTTGTCTTGCTCTTTTTTGAGATGATTAACATTCGAGTAGTTCAATTACTTCAACATTGCAGCGAAACACATGAATGGAGAGTCTAAATGATGTACCTACTGTTAAAATGCGCACAAAACTAAAAGATTTAAGTTACTTACATAAACGTTAAACTACTGTATATACATTATCATCAAAAAAGTTATCATAGTATCTTGGCATAAAAAAATTTACAACTCATACAATACCTAATAAAAGTATGTTTACATTTCTAGCTACAATGTACAAAAATATTCTATAAAAAAATTGAAAACTTTTCAGACATATTAACAGCAATAATACTTGATTATTCATCTAGATAACTTATTTTTTATTTTTTATTTAGGAATTTTGTCTTCAACTTCAAGAGTTTTTCTTGTCATATAATTTTTTTTATCAAAAAATATCAAACAAAACTCTTAAGAGTGTTCATAATGAACACAAACATCTTTTGGATCTCACATTCCACTTCAAATCAAAACCTTTATTTCTTTGGACTCTCGAATCTACTTGAATTCTAATATCTTTGAAACATGATATCAAGATGAAGGGCACATCAGTTCTCTTTGGGTCAAAAGCAATCAAATAGAACCTTGTGGCGCTCTCGTAGTCTCTCAAAACATATGTTTAAATGCACAATTCAAGTCAACCTTTAGGTCCAATTCCTTATTTTTTTAGAGTCAAACTCCCCTTCAAACTTATCCAATTTTTTTTAAATTTGGAACTATTAGTTACATCACAATGTATTATGTTTTTTTTCTATAAATGCTTTTATCAAAAACCCTGTGATGCTTTCGTAATCAGCCAAAATAAACTTTCGGATGTAGAATTCTTTACCAGATTCAATACAAAATACTAATCGCTATTTGATTCAATTATTTTTTATCTCATCATTTATAAAATTTTATGTTGAACTTATTTTATCATGTCTCAAGAATTCTTTCTCAAATCCAACGAAAACAAGGTTCTCTCGCATGTTTTATGAATTGTTTTTTTTTCTTTTCATTCGATCCGTTTTTATCTCTGCCATTTGAGTTTGTAGACTTGTCTGCATTGAATCCGGATGTGGACTTCTTTACCAGATTCAATACAAAATACTAATCGCTATTTGAGATCAAAATTTTTATCTAGTCATTTATAAAAAAATTTATGTTGAACTTATTTTATCATGTCTCAAGAATTCTTTCTCGAATCCGACAAAAACAAAGTTCTCTAGCCTGTTTTATGAACTGTCTCTTTTTCTTTTCATTCGATCCGTTCTTGTCTCCTGCCATTTGAGTTTGTAGACTAGATTCATGTATTTGTCTTATTTGTCTATTGCTAGTTGTCTCGTAAACTCATCGCAGTCTTATTTTTTCATGCTTCTGAACGTCTGACACCTCATTGAGATATCGTTCTTCTTACCCACATCCATTTCATCGTCCGTTTTGAAAGTTGATTTGGCCTTTTCTTTTTAATTTTGGCTTCGCGATTTGGTTACTTTGGTTCATTTGATTTATAAATTTGACACTTTGTATGTCCATCTTTTATCTCACTTTCTATCATCACACTATCAACTGTAGGCTTTTTTTCAGTTTTTAACACCACTTTAGGTTTATTTGTACTAGCATCTTACCACTAATATAAGCAGATTTTTACCAATTTTTTTCACTTGTAAGACTATCTTCAAATTAGGCTTTTTAAACTAGAGAGATCATCTTCAAATCAGTTTTTTTTAATAAGAAAAATCATTTTTCTAGCATTTCTCTTTCACTAGTTTTACCATCCTCCTATACATTTTTTTCCACCAGTAATAGCATCTCCTTATAAGTTTTTTCCCACTAATAAGATAATCTTCACATAATTTTTCTCCCACTAGTAATACCATCTTTGTAGAAGTTTTTTCCCACTCTTATAACTAATGAAAATTTAACTTTAATTCTTATTAGATTAACTAGAATTTAGTCTGAGATGTATATTAATATTAACAAAAAATCAACAAACATACGTTAGTCAAAGTCTTCATGTCAAAAATATCATTCATATCACGTGTATAAAAAAAATTTCCAAAATTACTTGACTTTGGATTATAAAGTAATCTCACGAAATCTTAATGTGAGTTGCATAATTTGCTATTTTCTTCATTTCTTGGATTTTTTTGACTAGAATTACTTCAGAAAAAATTTATTTCAAATTTTTTAATTCTATCACATAGGGATGTGCAAATTATTGTGTAGAATATTTTATCAAAATCACAACTCATTTTTTATTCAATCTCAAATTTAATGTTATTTCATTTTAAATTTGTGTCTGAAAAAATATTCTTATCTAGATAAAATTACTTTAGGAGCAACCATTTATAATAAATAATAAATTTTCATCTTTATGTGAAATTTTTGATATCAAAGATTTTTTTAAATCAATTTTGTCAATTCAAAATTAAAATTTAACATAATATGATAATTTGAGTTTTTTATTTTCCAAATAGATTGAACAAAAATCTTATGCTGATTTTGTAATGGTTCAGAATATTTTCTCAAATACAAATTTTATCTTAAAATTTTGGATGAATATCTTGATATTATTTGATAGCTAAATTTCTCCAAGAGTTTGAATCAATTTGAAATTTGAGCTCAACACAAAAATGCATGTCAAACGTTTTTTGTGGTTGAAACGTATCAAATATAAACCTCATGGATATAGAACTTTTGGAAACTTTACCAAACATCAATATGTACATACTCAATTAACTTTTTGAATTTGAATCCAACATCAAAAATTTTCCTATGATAATTGTTTCTAATATAATGTTAACAAATCCTGAATTAATTTTATCTGTGATAGATGACAATATCTTATTGCCATAGATTGTTCTATTACTCATGTAACCTAGACTAAAATAATGAATCATTTCAACTCAAGATTTGATAAGATTAATTTCACAAAGTTTATTGATGCTTAACATACTTATAGCTATAAGTCTTTGTATTTTATTTCTTTATTATTTTTTTAAAATATTAACTATAAATAATTTTAGATTAAAAAAATAACAAATTCATCCAATTTTGCTCAAAGATAAAAAACGTTTCATATGATTGATCATATATATTCATAATTACAAAAATTACAACATGTTTGATTCTTTAGATTAAAATTAAAAGATTACAACAATGGGTTTATAGTTTAAAATATACTTTAATAATAATTATTTTTTAAAAAATCCTAATTCCAATATATGATAAATATAAAATTTATCAAATATATATATAGGATGTAAAATCCTAAATACTCGAATTTTTTTAAATCATAAATGCTTTAAATTTTTTCAAGATTTGATAAACTGATTGATAACAAATCTATCTAAAATTAACTTAGAATAAATAATATTAAAAATACATGATATCTTTGTTCATCAATTTTATTGTTATGAAATAGAAGTATAATAGTTCTTTTTATGAATTATGAAGTAAATTATAAATCAAATCCCTTTTCAAAAAATAAAATTTAATCGTGTTCTTGGAGATATAAAATGATAGTGAATAACAGATTGAATCAATATCAATATCCATATATTTTAAATTAACGAAAAATTTAATTTCAAGAACTTTACTACATATACACCAAACACTTAAATTTCTGTACTAATAGTTAAAACTAAGTCATGAATTCTACCTATAAATACTTTCTGTATGAAGCTGTAGTTTTGAACTTGAATAGATTCGTGTACTGCACATAAAAAATTGGCAATGATTTATAGTTAGTAGTCTTTTCATTTATTAATTGTCACATTGGAACAAATACTCTTACTTATATGTGAATGGATATGTATCCAAAGATCGATATTTGAAAAACCCATTCATTCTACTGAATTGAGATGTGTGATAAAACACAGCACAATAATCCTTCTTAAGTTTGAAGTGTGAGATTTGATCAGAAATTTAAATTTCAAAGCAATATTTAAATTGATTATAATACAGGATTTTCTTTAACCTGACTTACGAAATTTTCTTTCACTATAGCATCTTGACATTGACTAATTTGTAGATATGTATGACATAGTTACTAGTGCAAGAAAATTGAAGATCAAACTCATATATCGTCGTTTGCATTTTTGTATATCCAATTTGAGAAGTGTGTGAATCTCTTCCAAGTATCTCAAGGATAGGAAATAAAATACTCAAAATAAATGAATGAATATATATATATATATATATATATATATATATCAATGTAGTTTTTTGACATAATTTAAATATCAATGTAAGAAAGGCTTCCAGCAAGTGTTGCTAAGATTCAACTACTTCAATACGTGGAAAGATCCTAAAATACTTGATGATATAAAATCCTCTTTCTCTTACAAACAAAAATGACCTCTAGAGGTATTTCTATAGACCTTTTCAACAATTTCTTCTTCATGCCGCGCTCTACGAAAGCACGACATTCAGTCATCCTTTATAAATGCATCTATTTTCTCACTCTTATCCACACCACCGCGTCAATCTACACATGTAGGGTACATCTCAAATTCAGCAGTGACTGATAATAAGAATACATCTGCTAATGAGTACGAGAATAATCTGTTAATCATCATCCAGTTTTTGCTAACACAAGTCTCTCAGAAGGAAACATCTACGACCATGCAGCAACCAGATATTAATTGTTTAATCTGCATTCGTTCAGATCGTCAACCGAATGGATTGACTCAGTCCGTCTTACATTCGCTGGATGAGTCAGGGAGAAGTGTTGTGCAAGAGTGCCCCTTGAGCTGGAAAGCCTCGAATGCAGTTACCGTTACATGTGTGGAGTCCGACTGCATTCTGATCGGGTCGGGAAATAAAATAAAAAATAAAGAAAAATAAAATAAAAAACGAAACTGGGAGAAAGAAAGTCAGGGAGTGGAGGGGCCGGGGCCGGGGGTGGGGGAGCCGGCGGCTGCTTGAACCCGAAGTTTTAGTTCGAGAGCGCAGAAACGTCGAGCGTCGAGGGAGCGAGAATTTTCGTCGTTGTCGATTGTGGTGCGTGGGAGGACATCCTTGAGCTGGAAGGAGGTTGATGTAGTTGGAGCTTGAGGATCGAAGGAGAGGAGAGGAGAGGAGAGGAGATCGGGTCATGTGATGGGCGTCTGACATTATGGAGGACGTGGGCGGGAGTAGTAGCAGTAACGGAAAAATGCACAAGGCTGTGGATGAGGAGGCGTCGTCGGGCATGAAGCAAGCGCCGCCGCAACAGGAGCCTCGGGGAGATTGTACCCCACAGCGATCTTTCGACAGTGGGAGTGATCAGGAGTCGTCGCTCTGCTTAGGGTTGAGTGTGGATTCTCGACTCCGCGACGAGCCGCAAGACGAGCAGATTGAGAAGCTGAAGGAGTTCCTGTCGGAAGCTGCGTCTCGCGGGGACGACGTGGTGACGCAACACGACGCCGACACCGTGAAAGCGTTCGAGAATTTGCAGAATTTGCAGCTCGGAACGAACGTCAACAACTCTGGACTGGCGGCGCGCCTCGAATCGGCTGCCCGAGCCAATCGCGAAATCGAAAATCAAGCTGCCTCTGGCTTTTACCCCTCAGAGACGGTGTACCTCGAAGAACACACTTTGAAAGAAGTGTTGGAAGAATCGGGCTCTGCCTTGTCGGTGAAAATTCCATCGACGCTTGCCGCACCTCAGTCTCCCAGACTGGGCCTGCAGTCTCCCAATGTACAGCCCAGTCCCAGGCCAATTATTGACGCCGAGTCCGATCTGAAAAATGAGCTCGATTGCCTGTTTCAAGAAAGAGCTTCCAGATTTAGGGATTCCTCTTAGCTTTAGCAGAACAACTTCTCGTCCACCCCGAACTCATTGTATTCTGCTTGTCTATCAGGATGGACGCACATGGAAGATGGGTATTTGATTGTTGTGGACTGGCCTAGACTATATCACCAAAGAGTTTGAACTTTGCTCTCGAGAAGCTAACGGAGATTTCGACACAGGCTACGTCGTTAAAAAGGGAAAGAGGACAAAGACAGAAATGTACATCGTCGAATTTGCTACTGATAGTCGCATATAGAGCTTGGGGATTATACTATTCAGATGCTTTCATCATTAGAGGAGGATTGTCTTGGAAAAAAGCCACATCAAGATTGTAATTCGTTCAACATTTCCATATTTCAATAGTCAATTGGCTGTCGGTAAATGCCGACGACGGTCTGCTGCACGGGCCCTATAAAAGTGACATTCAACGCCTATATCTTGCGGGAACGCCTTTGATCAGATTTCAAGTCATAGGCTATACTTGTAGTGAGGGCCTTTATCCCTTTCTTGTCGAGTTGAAGACACTGAGATGAAGATTTCCAATGATGGACAGTGCTAAAGCATGCATTATATCGTATATTCATGCATGTGATGACTTCTACAACTCATTTCTTATGACTTGCATCTTCTGAAAATGGTGGCTTCACAACTACGCGAACTGCTATGATACGCAAAACCAAATCAATTCAGACTGTGTTCTAGATTGGCAACTCTTCATTAAATCATGCGAGTATTGACATAACTTTTTCTCCCACCTGTATTATTTCACCTGAAGTGTTCGATTTGTTTGGCTGGGTGAGTTCTTGGAGATGTTTCTGTAGAATTCAAAATTCAGATATGAAATCTTAAAGTAGGATGGCAATGACAGTGTCGAGTAGGAACTCTGTACTAAAATACCTACAACACAAATTAATTGTTTTTTATTACTATGCGATGAGTGAACAAATTTTATAAGAGTGAAATAATAATCTCTTTTGACACTTTTCTGAATAAAAGTCTCTCAATACCTGACATAATTGACCGTTTTCATGTATCTCTACAAGCAGCATTATTAAAAAATCACGCTTATGTGGTAGCACTTTATGGTCGTTTAACTCGAGAATTTAAGACTTGATTTTAGGGTTCCCCAAGCTCTTCCAGTTACAGACGGATGATTACAATTTATTATGGAAATTGCATTCCGAGTAAATATTAGATGCTCAAGTCTTCTAAAGTGACTCAATTTCTCAAGACATGTGTAGTTTGGTTCACAATGCTCATGACCGAAGAAAAATCAGGTATTTCAGCTCTAGCATACGTAGCAAAACTTATTGAAGTTTCGCTACGATTGCAACTCCACATGACACAGTGGAGTTCCAATCGTAGCGAAACCACAATGCACAGAAGAAAATCTGGACGTTTCAGCCTAGGATGAAGATGTATTGTACGGATCCGGTCAAAAAGAAAGGAGTATACGTAAGTGTAAGAAAATTATTTGATTTTTTGTTAACCAAAAAGGCCCATGTGGTTAACCATAAGATTGATGGACATCCGGATTTTACATTCATTCTTGATTTTGTAGAAGTAGATACATGTAAAGCTATAGCCTTTTTAATATATATTATTTATTGTTTGGATAACGTACTCAGTTCATCAAGGTACAGTATTCACTAGCATACATGTGACCGCAACTCAAAAGGAATACAGTTGTACGCTAATATAGATGTTTATGATTTTAAGCTGTTCAGATATCGGCAAACATGGTAGGCAGGTAATTGCACAGTGGTAAGCCGTCTTCAGAACTTTTGGTCATCCCGTCATGGATACAGAGGTCAATTTCATGAGAATATTTGCCAGTTTATGTGATGGATCAATTATCCCGTTGATCTCACCTTGATATGGTCAGGTATCAGCTGGCTGTTCACTGTTGTCAGACTCATCTCCAGCCGATGGTCTGTGTACAAGTTCATATCGTCACAATTGGTTTGAGTTGAAATCTCTCAAATTCTTGAGTTTGAAGAGACTCACAATCTTTGGAAGCATTGCCGGCCTGAACCTGCCTCACGAAGAACTCATGCAACAGTGTCTCAATATCTTCTACCGAAAGACGTTATTCTGTCTAAATGTCTGATGTAGACAACTTGATACCAACCCTTTGTCCAGTGTATGGTTGGGAGACAGAAGGGATGTAATGAACTACATAAATTGAAACAAGAGAAGGTGTTATAATAATATAAGTTCCCAATCAGTAATTTGGTTCTTACCTCGCCCAAACCTTAGTGAATACGATTTTGTTTCCAGATTTATTTCCAACTTCGATTCATCATTATACATAACAGCTCCATGTGTTACTTTTGTGATTGTAATTTATGCTTCACATGACGAAATTTGGACACATCTTACCTTACTGTATTGGCCGGTGGAACATTAAATATTACTAACTATACACATATGCAGAGTTGTTACATTCTTATTACTCCAGCTTTGTACACATATGTAGCTATTAAAAAACTTGTATTTTCATAAAAAATTGTACAATATTCGACTATGTTGGACACGATTGATTTCCATATTGTATGTTTTATTGTGGTCAACATATCCTCGATGTTGTATAGAGAGTACACAGTAGTGATACCACATAAAATCAATTATGTTAGATGATGACTTTTGAATGCTCATGTTGTCAGCAGATTCTTTCGCCAAGATGGCTTAGATATATTAGGTAAATAATATTCTAATTTCATCTGAACTGCAATAGGAACTATTTTCATGATATCCGCTTAATTTATTTTGTGAAGCTTTATACAATATGAAACTCATACGTTCACTATATTCAACTTTCCACTTTTAGTAACAAAACTGATGCTTCTATTAAATTGTGATTTATTTCTATTGTACAAGTAGTTTCATAAGTCAAATTTATTCTTTCAATCTCTATTCAAACTATCAGAAGGGTTTTTGAATATATATAATTTTTTTATCCTATTGGACTAAAAATATATAAAAGCTATAATCATTGATCATACATTTTATAATTAAGCCTAAAGTTCAATACTTACTGCAATATATACTGAAAAAACGTACAAAAATTCTGGATTATATATACCAAAGAAATAATATTAAAATTGAAGAAATGAAGAAATTATCTTAGAGTTTTTATTTAATATTTTTGATGATTAATTATTTATGGAAATATTTGCAATGAAAATTTTAAATTTTTTTAATATTCTGAAGTAGATTTACATCGTGAATATATTTGACAATATATATACAGTAAATATATTCATCCATTTTATCCATACTTATCAGGGATTTTTTAGCTTTTTGACAAAATCAGTTGAATGACGTAATATACTTGATACCTGATGCAAGGATAAAAAATCCTTGAATATTGAGAAGATACAAATTTAATAATTTTGATCAATATCACATGAAAAAAACCCAAATGAAGTGAAATAGCTACCATGTGTTTACAACGAAGTAAAATACAATATGTAAAATTAAAAATAATTACATAGTTGAAATCTTTTTCATCATTACACCATATCTTGCAATCATTCAACATGATCAAAATCTATAAAATGATGAGAATTCTACTACTAAAGCATTTGTAACTTCTTATTGTTTGCACTATGATATGAGATGAATGGAGATGTTTGATAATTGAATAACAAATAAAAAATTTGCACAAAACTCCTCAATACTCTTATCGTAATATGCAGAAATAATGTTGAATATTGGTTTCAAGGATGTTGTTGAAATCAATGTGAAAATCATAAAATTTCAAATTTTCATGATATTATTTGTGTTGAACTCACATGGATAAAGCGGGAGTATATCAAAAGTACATCCAGTTGAAAACTCTGCTAACTGTGGTAAAAGAACTAAATTTTGTTTGCTCTTTAAGAGGAGGCAAGTGATCTTCAACCTAGAGACAAGCATATGAAAAAGAAACAATTTCAATCTTAACAGAAAAATGTGTGTGTGGATTGAATCTTATTTTTTGAAGAGCTTAACACAACATTAAATATATATTTTGATTAAGATACATGAAAGCAAGAGTCATAAACATAATAAAGCTAAGGAAGAAATTACGTAAGTATTATTACTTAAAACTAGTTGTTGACTTCAAAAAATCAACTTCGTTTACTTCACATAAGTAGACATTTTGTATCGCAGTAGATCTAGCGATCAGTAACACACTTGAGTTTAGGTTTTATGGGACTGAGCGGAATATATGCATTGTTGTGTACTGTGCTTTATTTTAGCAATCCAGATGGATATACGAAAGCGTGGTAAAGCGTGTTACGGTCTTGTATCTATGACTTGATTTATTCAGTCTTGAGATTGTGGCAAAATGAGGGTAAAGAAAGAATAAATCGTACTTAAAAGATGAAAGCTTTGGACTAGATAGGGCCGTCTTAAAACAAGATTGTAGTGATTATAGATTGATAAAAAATTACTCTGAATGAATATTTTCCCCTCATCTTCAGATGAAGGGTTTAGCTCAGGGAAGCTCAGGGAAACATTTGCATGTACATCTTTACTTTCCGATATTCGATATGCTTTTCTTTGAATCTATATTCTTCTCTTGTGTACACATACACTTCCAAACCTGTAAATGAAAGTCGGGGTCAGTTTACAAATCACGCTCTTTTAGCGTTCCAAAAAGATGTGGGGGAAAGCTAAAAGTAACACATAGAGAAGGTGGGCCGAACACGGCAACACAAGTAGCGAGGAGGCAAGGAAGCGTGGCATGGGACGGCGATGGCGGCAGAACATGTCCCACTCCTATTCAAGAAGAGAAAGAGGCATGGGACAAGCGTCATGCCCATGGGCCAAAAAAATCAGTAGAGAGAGGAAGGAAGGAAGAGTGGCAGATGCCCATGCTTCGAAGCTCTCGCTTCTCGGAGTGAGGGAAGTGGGCACTGCGCCAATTGTAGAGAGAGCAGTGAGTAGTAGAGAGGAGCGTTAGTAAGTGAATGAGGGAGTGAGGGATTGAGCGAGGAGGAGCGCGGGCGCAAGTGCAGGGCTGGTGGATGTATGTGAGCGAGGAGGAGGAGGACGACGGGCGGAGGGTTTTGGTGGTCTTCTGCTGGTGCTCTGCATGGCATGGCCTGGGCTGGCCGACATGTCACGCAGCGGATGAATCCATAGCTCTGGCTCTCAGCGATCGCAGCACCACCGAGAGCAGCAGCGGCAGCAGGGGGGAGGACAAGTACTGGAGAGAGAACGCTTGTTGCAGCCCTCCTTGGGAAGGGGAGGGAAGGGAAAGGTAGCAGGGGAGCAGCCTCGGAGGCAAGGAGAGGAAGCCTGAAGAAGGCAAAGGAAGGAGGGAGAGGGAGAGGGAGGGAGGGAGGGAGGGAGGGAGGAAAAGGAAGAGGGGAACGGGAGCAGACTACAGAATACTGAAACCTCAGGAGGAGGAGGAGGAGGAAACGTAGAAAAGGGTTCCATGCGTCAGCAGGAGCAGAAATTCCGATTATTTGGAAGGGCAAACCTAGAACAGGGGACGCCGAGGGCATCGTGTGTTGTGGGCGATTGGTGATTTGTACAATAGCAGGAGAGAGAGAGAGAGAGAGAGAGAGAGAGAGTAGCTTTGAGGCCGGGCGGGCGGGCGGTCGGCCAGGTCAATTGGCACCGGAGAGGAGCCGATCGAGTGCGGCGGTAGTGAGGTTGGGTGAGAATTGCGGCGAATTCCGAGGGCTGTGCTGGTCTGCAGAAGGAAGACGAGTGGGGGCAGGCAAAATTCAGGTGCTCTTTTTGTTGGGAAGGATGTCGATTGCTGCGGTCGTTTCACCCAGGCGAAGTTCTTGTGCTTTTTTTCCAGTTGATTTGGAAGTTAGGCCGATCCTGATTGCGCAAATGCCAATGGACTGGACGACTGCGCCGTAGTTGCATGTGCCACTGTTTGTAAAAGTGAGAAGCAGTCTGATATTCGTGAACAGGTGACTGATGGGTGTTCTCATGGTGTAGGTTAAATGGGATGCTGGACGCTGCCGTGTCTTGGAACTGGAGGTCGAGGATGTGATAGAAGCAGCTTACCACTATTTGGGTTGTAGAAAGTCGAAAGGAGGTTGGTGGCCGATTCAGATGTTCACCTGACGTGCAGTCTCATTCTGGACAAAGTATGTTATTTTATTTCGATTGATTACTCTGAACGCATCGTTTGTCACAGAGCTTTTGTTCGACGAATAAGTTGGAGTCCTTACGACAGGTCCTGGATGTTGGTAGCCTTTTCAGCATGAAGTGGGATTCATTTAGCTCTCGCTTATTTATTACTCTAGCATCCCTTCTCAATAGCGTCGAGTGTCATCACCATCGTTGCATCGTAGAATTGCGGCTGCACTTCTAGGCTTTCAGGGTTGCAATGTGGTGTAATCAGAAGCAGCTTCTATGAGTGTGTGCACCTCCCAACTGCGTCGTTCTCTGCCTGCTCTGTCAATTCACACACTAGGGATGCTGTAGTGTTGATGCGTAGGCGCGATCCGGTCGTGAGCTTGCGCTTGATGGAAGACAATCGAAATTGGGGTGAAAACATAAGCAGGTCGGCGTTGGGGTCCTGCCGTTGATCGTTTGAGATAGCGGAACCGCCCGCATTGGCAGAAAGGTGTAAATATGGGAAAGAGGGCGAAGAAGAAGGTGCAGAGTGCACCGGGCAAGTTAGTTTCCGGATCGCGGATCGCATCGTCCAGTCCCTCTTCAGTCACATCTTCGCCCGCGGATAGCGGCCGGTCGGGAGAAAAATGTAATGGTTCAGTTGAGACGGGATGTCTACACGGTGCCAATATAGACAAGCTTCGAACTCAGCTGTCAAAATCTAGTGCGATTCACTGCCTAGAGTGCGCCAAGCTCAGATCAGGGCCTGCTGGTGGGAAGGATAGGAGAGTTAAGGGCAAGCCGGTGAAGAAGAAGGTTCACAATCCGTCTGCAGTATCGCCCTCGCCTGAGGAGAAGAGTAACAGTCACAAGCTGTGGATCTGCCTATCTTGTGGACACGCGGGATGTGGTCATTTAGGTTCTCCCGGAACGAACAACAGTGAAAAACTCGTTGCGAAGCAAGGGATTGTTGGTCGTGGGCACGCTTGGCAGCATTGGCTGCAGTTGAAGCATCCAATGGTTATGCAATGTGGTGACGAGTTTGCTTGTTGGTGCTTTCAATGCGAGGCCGCCCACGAGCACAAGCCCTCAGACATGGAGATAGAGAAACCTTCTGAGGACGAAGTAGACGCCTCAGTATCGCCTTCCAGAGTCGAATTGCTGCATCAATCTGCCAAGTTGGTGCGAAAGAAGCTCGCGGAACAGGTGGTAGAAGTCAAGGAGCTCTCTGTGGATGGTGCAGACCAGGAAGAAGGGAACGTCCAGAGCCTGACAGGCCCTGAGAATGGTGTGGTCGAGGATGGAGAAGCCGGGAAACCCAAGAGGATCATCAAAGGATTGATGAATCTGGGAAACACCTGTTTTTTCAATTCCGTTATGCAAAATCTGCTAGGAGTGGAGGTGCTGCGGAACCACTTTCTCGTGGAATCGGCTAACTTCGAAGGGCCTCTGACGACATCTCTGCGGAAGTTTTTCCAAGAGATTGCTGTCCTTCCTCCAGGGGAAACCGTAGGTATGAATGGCCTCGAAGGAGGCTTGAAGAGGGGTGCCAAGGCACGTGGAGGGTGGAGCGGCATGGATGGGGTTCACAATCCGAAAGGTTTGTTCGGAGCAATATGTTCCAAGGTCCCACGTTTCAAAGGTTATCAACAGCAGGATAGCCACGAGCTTTTGAAGTGCTTGTTGGATGGCCTGCATACTGAGGAGGAGACCGCACGAAAGTTGTTTCCTACGGCTAGTAGCAAGGCTGAAAACCGTGACAATGGAGTACTGGCCAATGGTGATGAGAGAGAGCATTCTGGCGTGTTGTCTGCCCCTGAAAATGGGCCAGACGGTCTGGATAAGAAGAAGCAGGTTACATCAGAAACATTTGTCGAACGGGTTTTTGGCGGGCAGCTTTCCAGTACTGTTAGTTGCTGTGAGTGTGGTCACTCTTCTGTTGTATACGAGCCTTTTCTTGACTTGTCCCTTTCAATTCCTGTGAGAAGCTCCCCGAAACAGCCACCACCCTTACAAAGTGTGACCGAACAAGCTACGATGCGAGTGCTGTCCAAGAATCAGAGGACACAGTCATTCAAGTCAAAGAATGCCGAGCTCACGGTGAAAACCGGTGGCAGGAGTGATATGCACGATGATGTGTTGAACTCCAGCTCTTCTCAGATTGCTGGACTGGGGACCCCTCTACTACTGCTACCTCCTCCTCCTCCCAAAGAGAGCAATGTGGACAATCTCACTCTGAGCACTGTCTCTGATGATACTAGCTGGCTAGAATTTCTGGGTGGAGAAGAAGACTTGGAACCGCAAATAACATTCGGATGTGCTCCCAATCCAGATGAGTATTTGTCAGTAGGTTGTGCCTCAAATCCAAACTTTCAGATGGGTTCGGTTTATCTTGAAGATGGAGCCTACACTACTCAAGCAGGATCTTCCGAGGCAGATGCCAGCATGCATGCTTTGGACGCACATAGATTTACGGAAGTGGGTGATGTGAATGGATTGGATGGTTCTTTCGGCACCACCATAATCTCAGTAGACCACAGTCTGGAACCCCTTCCCTGTGAAAAACTGCTCCTCCTGGAAGCACCCAGACAGTCATGGAGCGAGACCCATATACACTCTCATTGGTTTGAAAGCGAGAGGTCTAATTACGAGTCAAGTGACGGGCCGGAGGAGAATGGCTACATTCAAATAAGGGGAGGGAGTGATTCTCAAGTGCTGCTTTTGACTCAAGGAAACGATACGGGCTTCTTTTCTCCCGAGCTGATTGCCGACAATTCTAGCAATCTAGGTACGAGTGCTGAGCAGTCTGGTAACTGCGGTGATGACTCGAAGTTGCACTCAGAGTTTGTGACTGGTCCAAGTGGTGCAGGACTGTCATTGGACTCTACCACCGGCGATGGGGACGTCTGTACAACTTTGGAGGCTCAAGGCGACTACGATGGAGTAGCGTCTCTATTTGATGAAGAAGACAATACGGAGTATCCGATGCATGGTCCTTTTCCTCTGAACCATGACGCATCAGGATATGAAGGAAGCAGTGGATTTGAGGAAGTTGGTCTGGATGATGTACTTGACTTGGGTAAGATAAATTGCGAAGGAAGGGACGATTGGCTTGTATGTGCGAACGATAGGCAAGAAGTGGATAGTGAGGAGGTGACAGTGTCCCTTGAGGGATGCCTTCAAATATTCACCAGACCTGAGGTTCTGTCTGGTGACAATGCCTGGGGTTGTGAAAATTGTACCAATAAGTATCACGAGAACCTCGCCGCAGCTTTAGTAAGAAAGAGTGTAACATTTCCTCAGAAAGACCCCGTGAAAAGGATTGCCAAGAAGGGTAGATTCGAGCCCGGCAATTCCGCAAGTGATGTTAGTGACTTGGATAGTCTAGCAGGAGACATGTCTGTCAAATTGTCAAGGTCAGAAGAGGACCTGAGAGTCGATCATGAAGATAAAGGTGTTAGAGAGGATGCTGCTTCGGACCACACGTACAAGTCCGACTTTTCGCTGGACAAGGGAGCGAAGTGCAACGGAACTGGGACAGGGATTGTAACAGTGAAAATGTATGCGACGGAAGATGTACAATCACTTGGTGCACAGAAGACCAGGACATGCACTGCAGGTGAGCCCCCAGCGTCATGTGGGAATGACCACAGTTTAGTATCCTCAGGTGTTGAAGAGCAGGGTGGGGATTCTCTACAAGATGTTGGTTTTGAGAACACAGGGCAAGTGAATATTCGGTTTGACAGCGTCACGACTGTACAAGAAAATGGAGACCATCCTTCTGTGCATCTCACCTCAGAACCGATGCGCTTGCTTGATGCTGGAAAAAATTGTTTGTCAAATGGATCGGTGATCACCATTGTCCACGGTAAGGATGCTTCAGGAGACCAGAGTAGCAACCCAAGTGACTGTGTAGAAAGTGGTGAATGTGACGTGGAGAAATCGGAAGCTGAAGTTAGTACAGGAGGGCAACCAGAAAAAGTAGTCAGCTCATCAAGTTCTTGTCGAACCTTAAAGTTGACAAAAACTAGAAGTAAAAAGGTTGTCGCCGAGCCTAGAAAGATCATTAAACAGGAAGCCACCAAGAGATACCTCATAAGTAAGGCTCCCCCTGTGTTGGTCGTACAATTAAAGCGCTTTGCTCGAGATATGCGGGGTCGACTAAGTAAACTGTACGGCTCGGTGACTTTTCAAGAATGGCTCGACTTACATCCTTATGTGGATCACAGGTGCCTTTTCTTCCTGAATCTCAAAAATAATCCCTTGCTATTTACATTCTGGAGTCTACTAGTTATGTACTATCTCCTTGAGGTTGTTATCTTCAAACATGTCCACTATTTTTTGAATTTTGTTTCCTATTTAGACTCTCTAGTTCTTTATGGTACATTAGTGTTGATGGGCAAAGTTGAACAGCCTTCCATGACACCAACATATATTAAGTTCACTGTCAAGTTTTGTGGTTTATTATTATACCATTCTGGAAATGAATTGCAACTTCTTGTTGTTGATATGAACATTTTTGCATGATGCTTGTCATCGTTTCTCTGGAGGCTAGATTCTCAAAAGTGTTTTCGAGGCTTGTCATTGAAAAGGCTTCTAACCTCCCTTTTGATCTTTCTAGTATCAAATTGGAGACATGTAAAGCCAAACCTAGATCTTGTTAGGACGGGGGATTCAAGGATTAGTGCTCGGTAGCCTTAGTCATTGTTACAATTCAAAGTAATTGTGGCATCAGTACTCGGGAACTTTGGTCGGAAACAATTGTAGATATCTTACTCAGGCCCATGGAGATAGAGATGGTCAAATGTTTTTACTTATGTGCAATACATGGAACTAACCAAATCTCCTGATTGTCCGCAGGCATGTTACTTCTCAAAATTGTCGGTATCGCCTGACAGGGACAGTTGAGCACACGGGCACTTTGAAGGGAGGTCATTATGTTGCATACGTCAGAGGGCCCCCAGCACCTACCGCACCTGGTCTGAAGCATGACCCTACAGGGGAGTCATCTTGGTACCACATCAGTGATTCATACGTACGACAGACCTCTCTGGACGCAGTGCTCAAGAGTGAAGCATACTTGTTGTTCTATGAGAGATGTTAGTCTGCAACAGTTCCCAAGGAGTTTTCTGAGTTACACATGTAACTATCCTCTGTCTCTTAATATGGTGTGTACTATTTGACTTTTTTGCGACACCCACACACCTTGTTCGTTCTCATCATGCAGCCTACGTTGCATGATCTCACCGTTTCCTGAATATTTTTCAGGAGAAGAATTTAGATGGTCATGAATACTTCGGAAACTCATACCTCTCTTATCAATCTTGGTAAGACACACTGTCAAGTAGGTTAGAGGATAGAATGATATGAACACATTAGGATATTTTTACATACAGCTTTTTATGACATTCTTAGGACTGTGATTGAATATGAGGAAGGCATTGCGCCTCTCACAGAGCAGCCATAAGTTTCTCAAATTTGGGATAGGTACTCAAGTGATTGTGTGGCCAAAGCCCTTTCTTCTTCAATCACAATCGCGTAGCATTTTGAAGGGTTTCAAAAGATCCACCTCTATCAATTGGAGGGAAGTACCCAATATTGTATCCAAAGTCTGCAATGCCACTAGATACATCTAGTTGATGCATATGCGTACCGTATGTGGTAGGCCTCAAATGCCAGAGTTTCCGCCAACCATGTCTTTGCTTTGGATATTTAAAGCGTTTTATTTCTATTGCTTATGATTGGCCGGTGAGATTATGTGAACAAGAGCTTCGTGTTGCAAACTTTCCCCGTCGCGTAGGAAGATTTTTAAATGAAGAACTACTTTGGATGTGACGAAGTGTCATTAATGTATTGCAGCAAATTGGAGACGAACTTCATATGTACCATGATGTCGCAAATTGTTGAAAGTGGAGTGATTTAAGTTCCCAGTGTGTCAGAATGTGGATTTGGGTAATGAGTCCAAGTCTTGGATACTCGTTAGGTTGGGACAGACAAACAAATGCATAATATCAGTTACGCATGGTCCAGTGTTGTGTCCAAACCAGGATGAATCGTCGTTGGAAAGATGAAGTTATTGGATGCCCGAGTCTGCTGTAAGTAGATTTGGAAACCTGCGATACTAGTTTACGTCTCGTGGAAGTTTAATTTTCAGATGGTTCACCATGATTCTTCATTCCCTTAGCAACAACTTATCATAGTAAAATGATGGATTTCGATGTCTGTCAAACCAATTAGAAGCGAATCTGTAGTTTACACTGGAATCACTCGAAGTTCAACTTTGATAGGTTCTTTTTCCAATACGAATTCTCGTATCCTCTCCCTTGTCATCGTACACTATTACATTATGCAAATTCTCAGTCTTCGTAACAAGTATATTTTTGACAAACATGATTTTACTACTTCCTTTTCTCTACTACTTCCTTCCTTAACGAATCAAGTCAGATGTTCATGAAAGACCTAATGTTGATCAGACACGACTACACAATTTCTGTTGAAGGAAGAGGTTTGCAATATATGGAAAGCATTGCTGCATCGAGTTTATAGGGGGTTAATATCGCCAGTCTCTAAATGTATTTCTGTTCCGGGAAGTCTGATGAGCCCTTCACACTTACAATCCTAATGAGATCCATTATAGCAACGATCTAGAGCTGTTTGGCAGATGACTATAGCGAGGGGAGAGAGTAGAGGAAGATACCACAGAACCAACGTGTAGATAGCAACGTGTAGATAGCAGATTGTCGATGATCATTCTTTTACTAATGTTCTGGCGATTAGATCTTGTGGGGGTATGCTATGTACATAGCCCTAGATGGATGCACACAACTTTTTGCTTTCCTTCGAAGAAGATTTTGATCAATCAACTCGAAGTCAGTGGAGTTTCTGGAGACGGGTTGAGTATTGGAGAGCATCAGGAGTAGCTTATGATTTAGCAAATCTACCATTTTCTCTGTTTTCCAACGTTGTATCTTTTCCATCTGTCGCATTTGAGTTATCTCAAATTATCGAATGTAACTTAAATAACCCTGTATACTCAAATATCACTTCCTCTAGAGTTAAGTATTACATACACCCGTTCCTCTATCACCTCTTGGATCATCATCACCCAAATATATTTAATGCACCATCCTTTCGGTACATCTCTCATAACCTGCAAACCCAAAGTCAAGGTATGTTGTGAGCTTCGTACAAAAAAAGACCTCATCCAATTGGTACACTATTTATCTGTTTATTTCTCGGAAATCTACTTAGATGTTCCTCTTGAAAAATCATTATCAATGAATTCAATCACAACATTTATAATGTGGACGAAGACATCTTATTTGCATGTACATCCATAATGAACACTAGCACAATCTACATTGCGTGAACTAAAGCGTCAGTGAATCACATCTTTCATATTATATTCAGAAATATTTACATATCAAGTCATACTACTTGATTCCTACATTTTTTCATGTTCCAAGGGCTATTTGCTATAATGTCTTTTTAAACTTTCATTTACTTAGTATTTTTGTTAATTTTGAAGATGAGATTTTTATGTAATTTATAGTGTTACAATAAATTTCTACTTCTGCAAGCATTCCAACAATGCAAACAACAAATTTTTTTTTTAAAAGCACTATATGTTTATATATATATATATATTCACTGCACAAAAAAGTTAGAAAGAGAAGACTATGACAAGATAGAAGATGTAAATACGTGAGTAAACACAATACACATGATTCATCCTTCTGGCTACATCTACAAGAACATTTTTGCTTGACAAGCAGATTTGCCGCACTAAACAGTACATAAGTTTGGCCAAAATTCTTAACCTCCTATACGCGTGCATGCGTGCATGAACTTACTATCATTGACGATTTAGGGTTTAGGGTTTCAACTTGATTTATTGCTAACAATCTCTCCATTAACACATGTCATGGGAACAACAACCTCATTAGCCTATATAATTTCTCTGAGAAAGTTCTAGAAAGAAATCTAACATTAGGCGGTTCTATAAGTTAATGATATTTAAAACTAAGCCAAAACCAAAACATGATAGAATAAAAATATATAGAAGTAATTAAAAATTGCTAATGAAATCTACTTGTGCTTATCATGCAAAACCTGCATACAAACACAATGTCTCTTAAATCTCTTCAAAGTAACTTTGATCAACTAGATTGAATTTATTGTCAATCTAGAGTAGCTTAATCATTTTATTAGAAACTGTATGTCAATTAAATTGATACTTGATGTTGATGTGCTTTGATCTATAAGACCGGTTTTTGTATGTGTGAAGTAGAATTAGAATTAGTCAAGAGTTTGATCATAATTAACTTATATTTGATTAAATCTAACTAGTTATGACTAAGTTTTTCTAATGATGACTAAATTTAGCCATAATGTCTATACTTGGCGGGATAATAATATTAATTCTAAAAGTTTTGGATGTGTATTTCTATTTTGTTTGTAACAAAAGTCTAGATTTCAAGGAAATAATTTTTTTGACTTTATGATTAGTTTTGATTGGTTTCACTAAATAATGAATATTTCATTGGTTACACTTAGTCTAAAGTTGATTTAGTGACTAGTGGAGGTTCTAGAAGTTAAAAAGTTTCAAATGGCATGTTGCCACCTCAATCTAGGAATAAGTAACTTCTAGAAGGTTTAATTAGGCCAATGACATGTGACAATGTAGTAAGAACTACTCAAACCTATCATGGTTTATCCTAGTAAAAGTAACTTACTACTTAATTATCATGTGTTCCTATGGTAATTTCACAAGTAATACAAATATAATGATAGATAATACAATTTTAAACAAGTTTGAAGAGTTCATGTGTAAAAATTTGTTTTATCAATAAAAAAGTGAGATTTTCAGTATCTTGGAATGTCGATGTGTGTGTGAACTTGAATGATGAACTGAGACAATGTGTGGAAGGATTTTTGACACATAAGCATGATTCAAAAGGTTTTGACATTATCTTTTGGATTGAAGTATCATTATTGTGAATGATCGCAAGACCTTGAAACATATTTTAGCAATCTTAATCTTGATGTAAGTAAAACTAGATGAAAGTTTTTGCAAGTAGAGTTTGATTACATCCTTAAGGTTTGATCAGACAAGTAGGATGTTAATGCAGATTTGATCTCTCGAGCATATGATGAAAGAGAAGATCAATCTATGTATGTTAACTTTTTGGATGAACTTTTGTTGGTCATAAACACGATGATGACGATATTGAAAGAGTACACGTAAATTTGAAAGTTAGTCTCTACTAGAGATTTTACTCAAGGTATGCACGGAAAAGAAAAGAATGTATTGATAAATAGATGTCAACTATATATGATTATGAAAAGAGTACTTTTTCATCAAGAAGCCAATGAACTTTTAAGAAGATAAGTTGGAAAAGTAAAATCATTGCAACTCATGAAAAAATTTCACAAAGGTTCAATATGTGAATAATATTTTGTAAGAAATATAATTGCTTTCAAAATCTTTGATATTGATTATCATTGGAACGATATTTTCAAAGATTGTGTCAAGAATTGTGAAAATTGCAAGAATTGTAATGTGTATCAAGCTGTTGATAAAAAGTTCATGAAAATTTTTTAATTTGATTTGAATTTGATTTAAATTTCTATTTGGATTTTTTTTGAAAAAAAAATCTAGATTTTGTAGGTTTTTTTAAATCTTACTCCTCAAGAAATAGATTCATTGTGATAACTATTGAATAAAATATCATAATCAAATTTGGTTGTCTTTTTGCTGTTAATATTGTATAGAGAAGTACAGTATGTGAGAAATATAATTTAAATCATGTTACAGCATTTTTCTATCAAAGCTCGAGTGATCATTTCTCATAAATCCAATATTAATGGATTGGCGAAGAGTATCAACTACACAATTTGTTTGATGTTTATCAAGGCTATAAACATGGACGGAAGCAAGAAAAATTATGATAAAACTCTATATGTTATCTTGTGTGAGGACTGGACAATATGGAAATTTTCTACTTGATATTTGCCATTTTGGATGGTATATGAAGTTGAATCAAAATTTAACTTGATCACTTTCATGACAATTTTGTGAAAGTTGAACAAGACAAATGGAGTGGAAGTCTTATTATGAATAATTGATGGAATAAGACAAAATTTAAGCTATGTTCATGGTGTAAGTGAAGCGAGCTGTCATGTAGTTTTTGGTCTTACTATATTTAGTAGTCGCCTAGGGTTTCACGTTGTAGGGTATAGCGTGGAAGGAGACTCGAAGAACGTCAGTTTTTTGAGTCGAGCCTAGCGCGTTGGGAGCAGTGCTCGTGAGCGCCATAACTGGAGTCTCCGAGTGTGGAGTGGATTGGGTTTGACTATGTTTGTGACGGTGACAGTTTTGCCAGTAGTGTAAACGACCGACGGGAATCTCAGTGGGAAATCTCCCGTTTATTTCACTCGAAGAACTCACGGAAATTCTGAGTAGCAGAATTCTTCAGAAGTCGTTTTACAGGTTTAAGTGTCGGTGTTGATGTTGCCTTGGTGGTGGTTGCGGTGCATGCGGTCCTTGGAGGAGTGGCAGAGTTTGATGGTTCGTGGACGAGCAGCAGTGCCTTGCGTGCGAAATCAATAGCATTTTTTCTCGTTGCTACTCCACCGCAATTCAGCGGAATTTTGAATCGTCATACAGGTAGAGCTGCGTAGAGCGAAGCAAATTCATCCTCTCGGGACTGTAGGACGTGCGAGGAAGGGTATACTTTCGTGTTGACACTTTTCATTTCAAGCGAGATTTGGGTGTTATGGAGTGGTATGGCAGTGACGGTTGCTCCGAATTGCATATGACTAGATTTCGAGGAGCAGACATCCTGTAGTTGCTTGGAAAGTCTTGGAGAGGACAAAAGGACTGGAAACTTGAAGAGAAGGTAAAGCAATCT